GAGCTGGTAAAAGATGGATGGATAAAAAGGAATTTTTGGGAGGAGGCTGTTAGAGAGAAGGAGGTGGAATAAAAGGAGAGCTTCAAAGTGCCGCTGTCTTTACTTAACACTGTGCTAATCTGCTCTGCATATTCATGACCTACTGTTAAACACGAGATTTGAACGTGTTCATGTGCGTGTGCGCATTTTAACCACACTGGGTGCTCGGTGCCGACTCTAAATTAAAATTGGATTGTGATGCATTGCAGTGGATTTTAGTAACCGTCCAGATAACGGGGAGGGTAGAGAGCAAGCAGAGGTACAAACGAGAAGTTCAAAGTGCTAATTAATCAGTGAGGTTTTAAAATGAAATAAAATGACATTAAACCAGCATATCTCTGTTTCCTCAAAGCGTTTCACTTATGTGGAGACAAATATTGAAGCAGAGAGACAGCCCATTAGTTAGTTCATCTGAAAATGCCTACACTGGCCTTGTGAGAGCGGGTGCCACTTCTGACAAGTCTAGTGTGATTTAGGTTGGCCTGAAACATGCATTAGGTCATTGATGCTTGACTTTGTCTCTTCCCTCCACTGCCTTTCCAATCAGTTCTGCTCACTAGACTGTCAAACGCTGCTAGGGTGAGCTTAGCCGCTGGCATTCAGCCAGTCAATAAACCTCCGTGCTTCACTGCCTATGACATCTGCCACAGATCAATGTCGAGCCCCCGTGCTGGATTATTCAAAAGTACCCAGATTAAATCCAGATTTCCGATGAAACAAAATCAACCTGGTAGATTTCACAAGGTCCCTCCTCTGATTTGTGACATCACATAATCAGCTGACCGCCCCAGTCACACAGGTGTTAATTGTAGTATTGATCCACTTACAGCGTGGGGCACTGTGAACACGAGGAGAACCAGGTGACATGCCAGACATAATTAAAACCACATCAGTAACCTAGCAGAAACCCAAGGGACTCACATGCCTCCGTCTCAACCCCATTCTGTCCCCCCTCCCTCCTCGTTCCCCAAATTTCATTCGTCTATCAACACAACATGCTGACATAATGATGGACGCAGGCTGTCGACAACACTGAGGGCAGAAATAGATACAAGAGACAGACGGTGAGAGAAACAAGAAAGATCTGCATGCTTAAAGAGCAAAATGTCTACCTGAGCAGCCGAACAGTGCCAGCGGCCGTCCATGCCTCCCTGACTGCCTAGTTCACACATAGTACCTGCTCTGTGTCCTCAAACACTTTTGTAGAAGATTCAACAGCTTGCCTGCTACTTTCACAACTGAAAACCACACTCACACACACACACACACTCACACACACACAAACACACACACACAAAAGGTCTATATTAGCCAAGCGTGCTCCATTGGTCTATTTCTAGCTAAACACATCTACACAGGCACACAGGCAAACGCCAAATCAAGACGAAGTTGGAAGGCTGATGAAGAGATCCTGACGAGAGAGACGAGGAGCTAGCTCCACTACTGCAGATGGTGAGATAGACGCACACAACGCCTGCATTAACAGCCTATCACTGGAGCTCCACCACAGACAGGGAGGGAGGGAGGGAGGGAGGACAAGACAGGTGGAGGAGGGGGAGGAGGAGGAGGAGGAGGGGGTAACAAGTAAAATATGGAAAGATATGGAGGCTGAGAAAAAGGAACGGAAAGTGAAAAAATGAATAAAGGAAAGATGAAGCGAGAAATTTACAAAGATGTGAAGGAGAAAGCAGAAAAAGGGAGGGTGAGGGGGAAAAACCATCAAAACACAAATTCAAAGCCCTCGCGGAAGAATCAGCTGATCCCTGAAAACCAATCAGACGCCCCTCTGAGCCTCAAGTTCCCTGTCAGTCTCTGCATGAAACACATGCAAGCGTGTGCACGAGAACCCTTCCTCAGACAGACAGCGCACATCAAACCCGAGCTCCCTGACTCGGAGCGCGCCGCTAGCATCAACACTCACACGATCTCTCCTTCTCTTTCCTTGCTGATGCTCAGCTATCATGCATTATTAATACCTTCCACTTTTCAGTGCACACACACACACACACACACACACACACACACACACACACACACACACACACACACACACACACACACACACACACACACACACACACACACACACACACACACACACACACACACACACACACACTCACACACACACACACACACACACACACACCAAAATCAACTCACTATGGAGTTCACGAGACGGTACTAAAAACATCCTCATGGAAGGACATTGGCGATTAAGATTGCTCCATACACACGCACGCACGCACACACACACACACACACACACACACACACACACACACACACACACACACACACACACACACACACACACACACACACACACACACACTCACAAGCTTAAATCGCTCTATTATTTGGACTCGTAACACCTTTGTAAGACATCTCTCCCTGCCCCTCCCGTGATGCAACGTGCTGTAATTCAGCCCTATTGTTCTCATTCCACCTGAGTGTGTCTGTGGATGCAATCTGTTTTTATCTCTACTTTATGTGTGCACTGGTTAAGACCATGTTGGTTGCCAGGCAACACACTGGAGCCTCAACAGAGAGGCTGTGGATTCTTCTTAAACAAGACAAACACACAGACAGAATCTGAGTGCTGACAGCAGTGACTTGTATTAGAGCAAAAGCTCTGTGCAGCGTAATGAACATGTAGTGTTCTGACCCAGTTCACTCATAGTAAGTGCAGTGTCAGATTTCACTCTGACATCAGAATGTCACAAAGGTGGTTTATTTAACTCACGTATGTGTGAACAGGGAGTAACGGAGAGATGGAGTGTAAAAAGAAACCCCTGTGACGGCGGTGTCACTCTGCAGCAGTATCCATCCAGCTCACGTATCCATTATTGATGCCTGAGGCTTAGCTCACAGCGATCAGTGTTCTATTATTTACGTCTGAAACAGCTGGTGGTTTATACACAGAGGAACACGTCTCTGTGGGAGTCTGGATGGGGGAGAAAGCTAGCTGCGGGTACTGGGGCTCACTATTTCCATGGCAACTTGTATCAGGGAGGAAAAAAAAGATATCTTTTTCAGTGCGGCAGTTTTATAACACAGATCTGCAGCACACACAGACGCCCACAAAGAGCCTGACAGCATCTCTGGAGTGATCTGAACAATGGAGCATAGAAGTATGTAGAGTAGCTGCTGAAAATGCATCCCCTGACATTAAAAACCAACCCAGCAGCAGCATTACTATCAAGTCTTTTGTCTCACTTTCATTAGTTTACTAAATACATATTATGTTAACGCTATTAACGCCTCCATTAGCTCAAAAATGTATCAAAGAGAGAGCACTTAGTTGAGAATTTGACATCTGACATTTCACAGCTGACGATTTTTAAACAGATATTTACCAAAAAAAAGATCTAATTTAGCTCTCATAGCTGGACTAAAGCAACTGATTTTATTCAGTGATGAAAACAAAGTGAGAAACATGTTGCCACATTTCATTCCACATGATTGTGGTGATTATAATCTAAAAACATTCCAGATTAGAATAGATCTGCACTTAGAAAACTCCGATATATTGCATGTATTTTATTACATGTATTTTGCACTATTAACATGCGTTGTATTATCATGCAAGCCTAGTCCACCCAATTGCCTTTTACTAGAGTTAATACATGTGCTTCAGACTCTTAAAAATGCTTAAATTTATGTTTGGCATTTTCAAGGTTTAGAAAAAGCTCAAATTTTGAATTAAATGTTTGAAAATGCACTTTCAAGGGTGGTAGACACAAAATCAGAATGTGTGTCTAATACACAGGGCTCTCTGCTATCTGTAGTCACACTAAAGTACTTAAATAAACCACTGATGTGATATTGGCAATCAGTTGCATGCACCTATTTCAAATATAAACATTTGCGCTAGTGTAGCTTCATTTAATCTTTATAATTTAGACTGATTGCTCAAATGGTCGTTAATGTGTTTGGACCGCAAAACATAGAAAATTGGATAACACTTTACAATAAAGATCCTTTTATTAACGTTACTTAGTGTGTTATGAAGCTAGGGCTGCTCAATTAATCGAATTTTAATCACGATTACGATCTGAGTTTTGAACGATTATAAAAAACATAACAAGCCGATTATTTGCTCCTCCCGCTTGCGCTGCCCTAAGTTGCAAATGAAGCGCTCCTCACAGTGTTGCCAACTTAGCGACTTTGACGCTATTTCTAGCAGCTTTTCAGACCCCCTTCTTGACTTTTTAATCCTAAAAGTACCTAGCGAACACCTCAGAAACATCTCTGGTAACCCTTAGCTACTTTCTGGATAACTGTCGTCGACATTTCCTGCAGGTTAGCTAAACACTCCGCCTGTGCTCCGGACCGTTCTACACAACATTAGGAAAGGGAATGATGCAGTGATGTGTCGGTCGCTAAAAACAGCTCTCAGAGCCGGCTCCTTGTTGGATTAACCAGAGTGAGTGACACACACACCGCACCTGCGGTCTCCTGAGCAGCTAAAAACAGCTAAATGTGCGCGTGCGGCGTGCTAAACACACGTGCAGCTTGCCCGATTGCTGTGAGACCGGGTTGGGGGGGTGGGGGGTGCAGCTGTGGTCGGGACAATTATTACATTAACTGATGGGCCTGTAAATAAATAGTTTATAAATAAGGTAGAAATAAGTTCCTCACGCTGATAACTAATCTCTCTGAGGACACAGTGCTACAGCACCTTGACACGACTCAATAAATGTTATGTAACATTTTGTGAACATCAGTTTATTTGCATTTATTTGTTATAAATGCCACTCTATAATTCTTGCTGTCAGTATTTGCAAGATATTGGTATTTGGGTCAGTACTGGTTAGACTTACATGAGTTAAACCAAGGTCTATAGCCCTTGGGTCATAAACTATGAGCTATAAGTATATTGGTCCTTTTATCCTGGGAATCAGGAGTTCTTTTAGTGATCATCTTGTTTCTTATTTTTGTCCTGATTGTGCCCTGAGCAGTTTTATGACTGAATAAAAACAAATAAAATCAACATAAATTGAAAAATCGTCCTAAATAATCGTGATCTCAATTTCAGTCACCATAATCGTGATTATTATTTTTGCCATAATCGAGCAGCCCTATATGAAGCATTAATAAACCATTTAATAAAGTATTAAAAACTGCTTAGCCATATTATGTAATGCATTACTAAGCTGACACCTCCCTGGCCCTTAAGGACACTTAATAGTTAACAATATCAGGAACATTATGCATTAAGTAACATTAAAAAAGGACCCTTACTGTAAAGTGTTACGCATTTTTTTTCAGAAGTTATAAGGGAAAAACAAACAAACACATTGTTGATGTTTTTTTCACGATTTTAAAAACTGCATTCAACAGAGAGAATGTCAAAAAATGTTTTGTCCACCTTTTTGAGTTTTGTACTTTCACAACAGAACGTGTTAGATTTAGGAACGAATGTAGGAACGAATGCCTTGTAAGACATACTCTGGGGGCACAAAAATATACCGGTGAACATTTGGACTTAAAAGTTGCCCGCATCATAGCTGAGCTTCAGACGGCAGGTTTTGGAGTTTTACTTCCTGATATTTGGACACCTCGCCCTGGATTCCATAACAGCAACACAACTCTACCACTCACTTCCAACACTGATGTTTTATCTCCACAAATAACACAATGCTGGAGGAGTTCTGCCGTGTGGTGAAAGTGCTAATGCTAACGGTTAGCTTAAAGGTATGGCTGAGGATGTTTTTGAATTACTGGAAAGAATCGCCCTCTCCACCTTTTGAAAAAATGCGCATGAGAGCGGACGGCCAGCTATCCTCGTGCACGCTGTTTACAAGTAGCTGCTGACCTTGCAGCACACGCTCACTAAAGAAAAGTAGATTTGTGTGTTTCAACAATGTCAGATTTATATTTATGCAGTTCCTTTTTTATTTTAATTTTTTGCCTTTTACTTTACTTATTTCTTCTTCCACCCTTATTGCACTACTGCTGTCTTTCTACCTCTGCACCTTATTCCTTTTCTGGTTTGCTTATGCTTCCGTAGAATAGCCCCCCCCTCCCCCCCCCCCCCCCCCCCGGGATCAATAAAGTATTTCCATCGGGATAAATGTCTCTGCTAATAACCACTAGGTTTATTCTCTCATTAGGATAACATAATTCTTCCCTGGAGAGTTAGAATATAGGCGTGGATAACTTCTTCTAGCAGTAATCTAAAATGAATTCCTCCAAATAGCAAGCCGAACTTCAGTTTAGCTGTGGAGCAGAAAACCAGTGACAGAGGTGTCTATGGGGATCCCAAACTTTGGTTTCAGCGCATGCCATCGCTGAAAAAAGTCTCCAAAAAAAACTCAGGTTTTATTTCTCACTTTGGAGGCCTTTCTCTTCTTATCATAGACTTTGAAGACGTTTTTCTTCTCGCTTTTTTCTCTCTGATTCTCAGCCATTTTCAAATGGACCCAGTGAGAATGCGAGGTATATTGATGAAGGCGAATCATTCTAAACATAAACAGAATGGTGAAAACTAACCCAGGAATGAGCATGTACAATGATGGCCTTGCGTGAACCAGAAAGATTGACAGTTATGAGGACTAATGGCTCAGAGGATCCACCCAGAAGAAAAAGATCTTGGCTATACCTTCAGTCTAGCCAAGACCGCTGCTGCTGATTCCCAGACATTAAACCAACAACAGCCTTCCACGTCGTGAGTCAGAATGGGTGAGTCCATGAATATTAAGTGACAGTGTGATGTAGATCTGTCGGGATTTTCAAATCCTAGAGTTTCACCATCTATTTTCTACCAAAGACTAATGCAGGAGATAGGTGTGGGAGACTATTTTCAGGTTCAGCCTGCATGAAAATCTCAGAGTGACCAATTATAATCAGTCAATCACACCTGTACCCAAAAAAGCTTGAAACCATTTTTTAAAAGTTTTCTCTTTCCTTTTCCATTGGCGTGTAAGCAGGCATCATCATCCATTTACACTCCATTCCTTGGTGTTTCCTATCCATAAAGTCTCATGTGTCACATACAGTGCTTTTAATTTAACCAGAGTAATGCCAGTTGTTAAACACTTAAGTTTGACTGTATTAAATGTGTGACACATGAATAAACTCTCATTCCCACGAGCAGAGTGAAAACTATTCGACTCCCCCTGACATATCTCGCTACTCCCTCGCCCCCGATAAGTGGGCTGTGTGCACACTAATCCTCTTACTGAGTTAAAAAAGAAACCTATCAAAGCAAATTACTGCACTTTAATTGTTGCCTTACAGAATAATTACAGCGTAGTGATACGATTTACATGTTACCAGCAGATCTGACCACAAACAGGGCATCATGCTCACCTGAGGTGTCCCGCCCTGCTTCTTATTTGTGGCTGTGGTGGTTGTGATGTCACTGATGGAGGGGGCGGAGTCAGAGCGGTTGCCTCCAGCGGCAGCACTGGACTGCGGGGTGATGGAGGAGGATGGCATGTCGCCGACCAATCGCGCGCTGCCCTCGACTTTGATGTGCGGGTGTCCCTCTGCGGCCATGTTGAGGATATGGAGGGTGTTGTAATAAAGACCAGACATCTGCCCCTGGAACATAGGTGAACCCTGTTCGCCTCCGCCAACGTGCACCGTCGTCTGGCTGTTAAAGATGGTCAGCTGGCGACCTACATACACACGTATACCAAACACACCGTGCCAAGAAGAAAAAGTGGCCAGACGCACGCAAAAAAAAAAAAAAAAAAAATCACACACATACAAGAGTGTTTGAGTGTTACACAATCCTCCACCCAGATGCACGGTGAGAGGATGGGATAGATTAAGCATGGCAGAGCAAATCAAAGCCGTGGAGAACCGTGGAGGAGACTGAGAGAGATAAGAGTGAGAAGCCGAGACGTTGAGCAGAAGGATGGAGATGCAAAGAACAGAAACAAAAAAGGAGAAGAGGAAGGCAGCGGATAGGAGGAATCAAAGGGCCCCGAGAAGACAGGGCTGACAGATGGTTGCTATGGAGATGGCTGTGCAGCACAACATCGTATTTGAAGGAGCAATAGACAGGCAGACAGAGAGACAGATCTAGAGAACTGCTGTCACAGCCCTACAAAGCATGCACTGGTTATAAGCTCTAGCACTGCTCACTGTTAAAGGGACTAGAGGCTAGTTTAAGTAGCTCTGCTGAAGTTTAGGAGGAAAACTTTTACTTTTCTTTTTTTCAAAATCATCCCTCTATTAGTAATTTCAAATTTACATAATTTCTTCTTTTACATGTCAGAAGACGTTACATGTACTTTAATTTGATTTCAATTTTTTTCAGTACATAAATATAATCTTTAATAAATGCTTTATTGTTTACAATTTGATCGTTACAATTTATTTACCAGTCTTAATAAAGCATCTTTTATCGGTAATTTTTTTCCTTCTATTTTCCGATTTATTCACATTTAAATCTCTCCATCGTCCCTTTAACCTGATATTATCCAATACACACTAACAAGATACGTTCACAGGCACTAGAGTTTACACAGTATTACACACTACAGCTGCCCAACTTTTAATTACTTAGTTATGGATTTAGATTTTTAGACGTTAGTTGATGGTGCACAAGAGAGTGTAATCAATTGCCTCCAAACTATATTTTAAAGCTGAAAGTTTTAAGGAATTTTAATCAGGGTTTTTACCTTTGTCGAGTAGCCAATCGTCAACTACTCGACCGAGCCGATAGGGGATTCGCTGTCTGGCGATGGCCAGGCGCTCGTTATCAATGTTGCCTTTAATTTAGAGATGAAAACACAGTAGTAATTACGCACATCCATACGTAGTACAGGAGCTGGATACACAAAGAACAGCAATGAAAAGAAAGTAATGGTCTGCTCATCATTTGCATGTCGTTAAAGGTCAAGTTTCCAAAAGGAGAGGAGCAGTGTTCGCTGCGCTGCCAGTGAGCGGACTCTTACTCTCTGTTCATTGGGTTTGATTTAAAAAAAAACATTTCAGGGGTTAACATCTGCAAGAGCACAGGGAAATAACGTTACAGCTGCCACATACTGTCTGTCTGAGTTTAGAGTTACATACAGGAAGAACCCTCACACACACCTCACAACATTTATCATTTTAGCTACCTAACTCTGCGTTTACCACTTTTAAATAGAAAAACAAACAGGTGTAAAAACAAGGACTACGCAAAAAAAGAAAAGAAAAAAAAATACACTCTTTTTTCTTTTTCTTATTTTTTTCTCTCTAGTTAAACATTTATATCAAAATATGACAAGTTTTTCTTTTATTATTATTATTTGTCCAAAAATGCACCAACTAATATTATTTTCTTTTATGGTGAGAAAAAGCACTAACACCTGAATTTACTATTTACATAAATTACCTTTAACTCTATTTAACAGGCCTAGCATGACACAGCTGACTAGAATACATGCTGTTGTATGATGACATTTTATGGTTTAAAAAGTCATATTTCATGTCAGATCAAACAGATTTCATTTCAAACACAGTAACATGAAACAAAGCTGTGATTACAGTTCTTAACCTCAGTGTTGAAAAGAAACATTGAAAGAAGAATTAATTTCATCATTCAGGAAGAGGAGCTAGATTTGGGCTGAGGTGTGGCTGGCTCCGCCTCAGAACAGGCGGGGCTGGATGTTAGGGTTATGGGGGAGGGGGCGGGGCAGGGCCTACCTGAGGGGTACCGCTCTATGACCGGCAGGTCGTCCAGTTGGAGGGTTGCATTGCCACCACTGCGGGTAAATCGAACTATGTGGTACTTCCCGTCATTGACAAACTTGGAGCTCTCCTCGATATTGATATCATCAGTGCCAACATTAAACACCACCCTAATGTTGCCCTTGTCCTGGAGGAGGAGAGATACCACCGTCATTCATTAGACGGCTTTCACGCAGAGTAAACAGTACCTATTTATAACTTTTACACAAAACACGCTTCAAAATAACCCTTAAGGTTTGATTGACCAGCAGACTGGACTCAAGCAAAAAACAAAAACAAAAAAAAGTTCAAAACGAATATGTTTAAAAAAACAAAAAGCACATTTTAAATAAATATAAAGATGAATAAAAATCAAGTTTCTTTACTAAGAAATAGATTATTTTTGCTTATTTCATCTTTAATGTAGTTGAAAGAAATAATGGTGAGTTGTTTGTTCTGCTGGCTCTTTATGTTTTATCTTCTTTGTTGCTCTTGTGAATCGAAAAAATAATTCTTCTGTGTAATATCTTTTGTTTAGTTGACATAATTCATGTTTTTTGCTGATTCTGTTTATGTTTTGTTTAGCTTTTACGATCATAGACTGAAAAGCTTAGATCTGTTTAGTTAGGCTTATATTAGAGCTGTTATTTAGTGAAGGAGATTATAGTGATGTGTTTGTTTTGTTCTTTTTTTGTTTTCCTTGTGTGAAGTGAAAACCGATTTGGCAAAAGTTATACCTAAGTGGAAGGCTGCACAGGTTTATACTTCTGCCAACTCCTTTATCAAACTAATTAATGGCTGTATTGAATCATCATGTGATCATATGAAAATAAATTACTACTAAATTAAACCTTTTCTGTGTTTTAAAAAAGAACCAACAAGGCAGTTAGAAAAGCAACACAGTAAGAACATACCAAAGATGTTTAAATTAACATGGCTTGTGATACTAACATGTGTCAAAGCCAACAAGACAGAAACCCTGCTTTATTAATCCTTTTAGCAGTTTTGTAGACTAAGAGTCTCTCCTTCCCAAATCCAGTCTAGACTGTTTCACAAACAACTAAAAGTCAATAATCACAAAAGATTCAGGGGACATTTCCAAGCACTTTCTTAAGCCAAATACAAGAAATCATTAAACATTTGTTGAAAGAAAAGAAATTTTAGACGTGAAGTGAAAAATCAAAAACAGAGAGCCAGTTATGATAAATAAAAACCTGTTTTATTTCAGTTTGCATTGCTCAGGTCATTTAAAACACATAAAGGGGGATTTTTAAAAATATCTTGTTTTGCTAACGTTTCAGCTAATCACTATAGCCATCATCAGTTTTGTGCCAACACAAGGCGGAGGCAGAGCAAAACAAGGTAAAGAACAATGCCTATTTTCTGTGTTTTAGAAGAACCAAGCAATGCAAGTTGGCAAAATACACTGAATGAATGTACATAAGCTGCTTTATTTCTACTTTTAAAGGGGACAAAGTATCTAAACCAACATTTTCTTGTTATTTGTGAATAACGACAGCTTAGGTGGTCAAAAGTAGCATGCCAAAAAGTCTAAGCCGTATGTAAATTTAAAATGCCAGAGAAAAAGTTCTTTTTTGAGAAACTTCTCATAGAAATGTCACAATGCAGAGCCCTTCCTCCTCCAATCTGCAGTCTCCAGTGTCTAAGGCCTTCTGGTTTAAACCAACCAATCAGCAAGCAGCTCATTAGCATATTCGTATACTGGCCAAGTGGGAGGGGTAAACAGCTCTTTTCACAGCAAGGCTGATTTAGGGGGTTAAGAATAGCCTGTATCAGGGCTCCTGGGACAGATGAAAGCCAAAAGAGAATTTCTTATGCTTCTTAGAGATTCAAAGCAGTGTTTTAGATTGCTGATAAACTGCATTCTTTGTCTCCTTTAAAGGTATGAAGAGAAATTAATTAAAATAAAAAAATACAAAAGGTATGAAAAATGAACTTTTGTTTATTGACTGACATATTTGTGCATATTTAGAGGATACTTTTATTGAGGTGATTATTATTATTATTATTATTATTCTGAGAATGTTTGAAGTCAAGTCCCTAATTTTGAAGCATTTCAAGCGATTGCCAACAAATGAATGTGCATGTTGTGACTGCAAACACGTGACGAAGTACGTGAGCGCTCTGATTAATGAGGCTGTCAAATACATGACTGAATGGAGCTTTGTTTGTTCCTGTTTCCACTTAATGAGCAAATAAGCAGGACAAACCATTACAGTTACAGTCAGGGGCTGAAAGAAGTAATGCAATTAATGAACCAATTAAATCAAGTGATGAATATATGTAGTGCAACTGCACACAAATCAGTCATAACAAGATTACTTTCAATGCTTTTTTAATGGAAAAAAACATTTGATTTAATTTATTAAATTAAGTGAAATTGTCATTTTAATTCAAGGTAATAAAACATAAAAATAATACACTGTAGGATGTGTGGGCCTATACCCTAGATTTAATTATTTTATTTGTGAGTATACTTTATTATTTTCAGTTTCCCAGGTTGGTAGTGTTAATAATCTGGAAGCAGCTGGACAACACCATCAGTAAATCTTTTAGATCCTTCATTATGTGGGAGCTGGACTTTAAATTTTTCCCCATCAAGCCATACAGAGAGTCTAAGTCACGTCCATCTATTTCTGAATCAAGGCTCCCAAAAAAAGGGAGTCTGTGGGTTGATAAAAGTTATTTTCTGATCCAGTGGTCTGTGTGCCATGGATTTCATATTTGATGTTCAAAATATTTAATGACACATTTTGATGCCAAGAAAGTGCTTATGTTCAAACGGTGGCAAAATTTACTTAAAGTTTTTTGTGAAAAGACATATAGAGCTACAAATGTTCGTCTCACCAAATTCATGTAATTGTACCAGACACGGAGAAGAAGAAGAAGACTAGTTTAACGAGCTTCGAATCCTTCTTCCAGGATGACAGAATGAGCATTAAACATGGAGAAAACCACTTTAAATCTGGCCATGTGGTAAGTAGCAGCTAGGCTGGGGTAGAAGAGCTTCTGTGGTAATGTCATATATGGTGACAATTACTAACTAAATTTCTCTAATTATGTGACAGACATAGTCAAAACACATGTAATTATTGCTCATTTAAATTGAAGTACATTACAACATATGTGTGATTCGAGGCATAAGGCAAAGCGGATTCGAACTTAGCTTTAATAGCTCCATTCACTGGTATTAATTTTATTTTCGTTCCAAGGACCCATGTGCCGACCGGAAAGGGAGGAGACTTTGGTTCCCAACATTTGTTTCAGTTCTGTCTCATTAGGTACTTTTGTTAAATAAGATTTGCAAATATGTTCTTTGCATTTGTAACGGTTTTTTCAAACAGTCCACAACAATGCCTAGGGGTATTATATGGGGTGCAAGATCCCGGACCAGCCCCCAGTCAGCACCCCAGAATGAGCTGGCAATCAGAATCAGCTCATATTTGGGCCAATCGACTCAGATAAAATTTTTCTTTAGGTGTACGATTGCACCCAATTGTCAACCTACCTTGTGGAAGTTTTCACACACACACACAAACAAATTTGAAAACTATTCTAATAATTATAGCTTTGGTCAGAACAGTTCAGATATTACAAATTATGTTGTAGGTTTCTCCAGACACAGCACTCACTGATGTTTGACCTCTCTATGCAAAATACAGTTTTCACGAGTTGAATATGAAGGATAACAATATTCCTGCTGATTTTAGCAGTTGCTCTGTTTCATGTAGTAAAGGTTTTAGAATAAATGTTTTAGAATAAATGTTCAAACTTCTTAATTTGCTGTCTCTGAATGTTTTTTAGCAGAGAACTAAACCTGTATTGACCTAAATAACATTGCGATTGTGTGAACTTACTACTTGTAGCTGAAGGTAGTCTCCGAGACCAGAGGCACTGTCCACTCGGAGCAGAATGGCCTGTTTCTGCTGGGTGCTGAATCCGAGGGCGAGCCGGTCTGCCCTGGTGCTGGGACGCTCATTAGGAGGCCATGTATAAATAACCAACCCTCCGTCACGACCAAAGATATAAGTGGTCCCAGCTGAGCAACACAGACAAAAAAATAAATGAAAAATTCAGATATGTTTAATTCTAATGGTGCATCTATGTTAAAATTCCCATGTAACAGATCTGCTGTTTTCATGAATGTTTATGTTTATGTGCTTAGCAGATGCTTTTACCCACAGCGACTTACAATTTTTTTAACCTATAGGGCATGTTGTGATCTGTGGGGGAAACCAGAGTACCCGGAGGAAACCCACGCATGCATGGGGAGAACACGCAACTTCACGCAGAAAGGCCGCAGCCGAGTTTCGAACCTGCGACCTTCGTGTTGCGAGGCAACAGTGCTAACCACTGCGTCACCATGCAGCACCACCATATAAAAGTGTTTCATGAATAATGAGCATTTGGCAAAACAAAACTGTGATTTAAACTTTAAAATGTCACAGCTAAACTGTTCCTCCCACAGGTTTAAAAAGTCTGTTTTCCAACTTACTGCAGGAGACTGAAGTGACTCATGCAAAAACAACTCATCCATTTGTTTGACTCACAGCGTAACAACCCGACTCTGTGTCTCACTTTGAAACGAGACTGCAAAGGATAATCTAATGCTAATAATCTAGTGATTTGCTTATTAAATGCTAGAAATGCTGTGGATTTGAGTGCCTGAGTGATGAGGGGGTATTTATTTTTTTATCTGTTGTGAAATAGATAACAATGCCCTCTAGTGGTGGCTTTAAAGAATACACCAGAAAAATCTCAGAACTTGTGTTTAAAATTTGACGATCCAGTAATTTTACACTAAGGTCAAACCAAGCCTTGCTTTTTTCCATACTGTAGTAAAGCAAAACTTAAATGTTGCTGGATTTAAACGTTAACACAATGCATATGCATTTTAATACCTAACAACAGATTGCACAAATAACATCAAACCTCCTATAATCTTTCTAAATATGCAGAAGAGCGTACCAACACTCACCATCGTTGCACAGTGGCCCAGCGTATGAGGTCATGTTGCAGTCACAGGTAAACCCCTCCCACTGCTGCAAACAGACACCCTGATTTGAGCAGGAATCTTCTTGACACGTGGTGCTGGGACCTGCAGGAGCAGAAAGAGTGAGGCAAAGAGGTTAGAAGAGTTAGGAAAACAAAAATATAAACACAAAGTATGAACAAAATCCAATTTTCAAATACGTGAATCTTTACACTTCCTTATAAATCACTAATATGAATACGATGCCATGGGTAGCCTCCTATTCTTGACAAAAGATGATGCATTTTCAGGGAGAAAAACAACACAGCTGGAGTGTTATGGGGTGAGAGGAGTAAAGTGTAGCAAACGTGGTGACGCTAGATGAGTAGGGCAGAAACCTGGAGCAGGACCTAAACATAACATTTAGTTATGTTTCAAGGTTTTAATCTCAATACTCTGTCTCCATCATTCTGTCAGCTTTCTCTCTCTGCTTCATGTTGAAACCACACAACAGGAGAACACCAAACCTCTAAATTTAGTTCTCTTTTGTGGCACATAGAGCATGATGCATGGAGGAAAATGTGCAAAAATGATTCACCACTAGAGTATTGAAGAGTCACTTAGAGGGGGTTAGAGAACATGCAGTAAGAACCTGGAGAAGTGGAGCGGTGATCAACTCAAACCAAGCAGTAGAAAATAGAACAGAGAGGACAAACCAAATCTGACCTTTGACCCTGGATCACTGGGATCCACACAAACACTGGACAGCACTGGGAAGTTTTAACACTCCCACACACGTTTTGCACCCTCTCTCTCTCTCTCTCTCTCTCTCTCTCTCTCTCTCTGTCTCTCTCTCTCTCTCTCTCTCTCTCTCTCACACACACACACACACACACACACACACACACACACACACACACACACACACACACACACACACACACACACACACACACACACACACACACACACACACACACACACCTCACATGCTCACACAAAGCATTGTACCTTTCAAGTCAGCTTTCATCAATGAAACTTTTGTCAGCCAAACAAAAAAGCAAACAAGCAAAATAAGTTAGATGATTAGTCACGGATGCCTGTGAGCTGCTCAGAGAGTGGAACTGAGAGATGTGCAGAGAGACGGAGGACGGGATGAAAAGACAGAGTACAATTATTAGTTAGTGGGTTATGCTAACAACAGAGAGTGTAAGCCAAATGAAAGCCGAAAAACAAACAAACAAAAACAATAAAGAGACCAGTACAAGGTGCTGAACCTAAAGAAAATTTTATATAAAAATTAAAGAATATATTTATTAATAGTAAACATTTAGAATTAAAAGTATGAAGTTAAACTGAAACATTTATTCAATTAGAAATGAAGTATTAAACACTTTTATACCATCAAATCCAAATGTTTATATTCCAAATAAATAATCTAAAGGATTTATATATTTGATCTTGAGTGTAATCTAATCCAAAAGGAAGATTTTAATATCAAATAAAATGGTCTTAGTCACACACGGCACATTTTTATTCTAAATTATATATTTACTTGATTTCAAGTAAAATAAAATATAAATATGTGTTTTAAAATTATTATTTAAAATGTTGAAAAATAAACGTTATTCCTTATTTTCCACTTGAAGCTTTTATGGTTAAACTCAATTATTAGATATGTAGATGCAACTTCACATATATTCTAAATAGTAACGCCTGACTTCACTCTTTTAGGTTAGACTGTATAAATTCATGTGACATATTCAGACAAGATTTGAAATATTTAGATAAACTTTGTGTGCTTAGACTTAAATCTTAAAATGTAGATGTGACTTCATATAATAAGCTTTGATTCTAAATATTTTGATATAACATTCTTTAATCATGTTTGACCATTTAGGCCTTACATTGCTATTTCCTAAATAACAGTGGTAAAAACATGACCTAAAAAAAGTTCAGACCCAATTTAGCTGTTACGTTAAATGTTGCAAAATATGTTTTTAAAAAGTGAAATATGGAAAAAGAAGGCCGGCAGTTTATTGTTTAAATAAAACTTTTCAATCGTGAGCCCAAAGAGGAGGCTGGGACAGATCTGCTGATGTCGTAGTTACCCCACCTTCACAACCTCTCTCCACTTGTCCAATAGTTGCCAAGGCATCAGCCAAAAGGTCTGGGAGGCGGCCGTTCAGATCAACTGTTGCTAGGCAACCTTGAAATCCCTCGCGAGAGTGGACCAATTTAGGCAGTTCTCGGTACATCTCTTTCGTAACTCCCCCAATGTAGAGATCACCTGTTGAGCATGAAAAGCAACTGTATGAATAACAGAACCGATGCACTGTTAATTAATGGAACTAATACAAAAATAACAAGATTCTACCCCAAACAAATTCCTTGTCTCGCCAAGACAGTTTGCACTAATATGGAACCAGCAGCTTGTTGACTGTGAGGCATGTCAGTTTGATTTGATGAATTTTAATTAATTTATTGTGCAGAATCTTTCAGCAGGAAACAAGCTAAATCGCTTTTTAAACAAGTGTTAACCTGTAGCACAGATGCAACGTTCATGTCTGTATGTTAATGTGCAGCTATGGCTAAAAAAGTCTGAATTTAGTTTAGTGTCAAGAGTAAAATCATAGAGCCACAAAAAGCTATTCAAAGGCAATAAAAGCTACATCTTTGAATGTAAGCCAGGAAATAGTCAGACTCACAAATTTATAATACAATAGCACATTTGTTGTTAGTTTTTTGTTTAAAAAAAGAAGCAAATTGGGAATTAGAGAGCTTTGGTTGTTATATTCTGATACAGTCTGCTCCCCAAAGACCACGCCTCTCTGCAATCTCATGACTAATCAGTGTTTAATCATACATTCAAGTACAAATAATGTGTACAAATTAGTGATGCACCGATGTGCAATTTTTGGGGCGATACCGATATTCAATATTAAGATCACTGTTATGGCCGATAACCAACATTTGCTGATACCGATATATATCGGCATTAATGCTAATATAGGCAGATTTTGTGGCGACGGTGGCACAGGAGTTAAGTGCTCGCCCCGTAATCGGAAGGTTGCAGGTTCGAGCCCCACTCAGTCTGTCTCTGTCGTTGTGTCCTTGGGCAAAACACTTAACCCACGTTGCCTGCTGGTGGTGGTCAGAGGGACCGGTGGCGCCAGTGCTCGGCAGCCTCGCCTCTGTCAGTGCGTCTCAGGGCAGCTGTGGCTACATTGTAGCTCATCCCCACCAGTGTGTGAATGTGTGTGTGAATGGGTGAATGACTGATTGTATTGTAAAGTGCCTTGGGGGGTTCCAGGACTCTAGAAGGTGCTATGTCAAATACAGGCCATTTACATTTACCATTTGTATAGAATGATAATTACTAAAGCTGGATTTACGTTATTATGTACACACACCACACAAATTTATGCTTCTGAGATGATTTCATTCACTGTTCACACGACTAAACAATTACACATCACCCCTCACCCTCTGAAACAGGCAAACAAATGGAGATGAGGTGGAAAAAATATTGGGTGTTAATATCGGCCTGGTTTTATAATCAAACCGATACCGATATGATGAAAAATGACTAACATCGGCCGATACCGATATTGATGCCGATATATTGCCAATCCCTAGTACAAATGCTAAAGCTCTCATTCACTCATTTGAGGTGGTTTCTTGTGTAAATAAATGTCTTGTGAGTCAATCTCCATGGAAAAAAGCTGTGGTGCTCTGTTTCAGGAAGTAGAATTGACCTGGAGGAGAGGGATCAGAAAATAGCAGGATTTGGAGTCTTCCCTATTACGCATGATACTTTGACATCTCATCTCTGATTTGCTAACATCAATGCGACTATATCAATGACTCAGTTTGCTTGTTATTTATTTTTTTCCGCTTCCGGTCGGTAACAAGGTGGCGCCTGTGCTTGGCTTAGCCGCAGTCACCGGCCACTTTTTCAAACTTTTCTCCACTAACCTCCTCTTTTCCACCTTGCTCCTGTCTGCGATCCTCTTCGGTAGTGTCCCTGCTACCATCTCCTATGATCGCCAGACTCTTTTGTCCTTCCATTTGTTCACGATCGCCCAAGATGCACCGAGGACGTACCTCTCTGTTTGTTTATCTGAGTGGCGCACTGGCCCCGAGCCAAACGACGATTCCAACCAGGGCGCCTCCAGCAATTTTTATCCGGTTCCGGGAAAACGTCGGAGGAAAAGAGGTAAATGAGCAGGAATCCAGGTGAGAATAAGACTTCTCTTAAAGCGTGGTTCATCTAGTAAACATCGGCGTGATCTTCTAGCTTCTTTTCATTTGTTTGGCGACTTGAGCTCCACTTCCGCATTCCCGCCAGGCCGCGTTGTGGCATGGTTTCTCCATCTAAGTTATTTAAGGTCAGTTTATCCTCATTCCTCAGTGGTTTCTCCTCCTGTTCTCTCCATAAGTGGTTTTTATAAACACCGTGGATCTAACCCTGCTAATTTACATCCACTAACTCCAGCTGTTTCTGTAGTTTCTGATTCCTCCACCTCACTCAGCATGGCTCTAATAAACACCAAGTCCTTCCTGCTCAATGATTTAATTCTTTCTAAAAACCTGGATTTTCTGTTTCTGACTGAAGTTTGGCAGCAAACATCTGATTATTCTGGTCTGATTGAACTCTGCCCGAGTGGTTATTCTTTTCTTAGCCAGCCCCGGGGTTCTGGTCGTGGTGGAGGCCTAGCTGTTGTTTTCAGAGACCATCTTCCATGTAGCTCTACAACCTCTGGTCACTTTGCTTCCTTTGAACTGCAGTTGATTAAAGTCGGGCGTAAGGACCCGTTCTACTGTGCTGTGGTCTATCGTCCGCCTGGTCCAAACAGTTCTTTCCTTCAGAAGTTTAGTGACTTTCTATCCTCTACGGTGAAGCTGTCCAGACTGGTGATTGTTGGTGATTTTAACATCCACGTTGATGATCCCTCTGATCACTTTGCCATGAATTTCTCCAGCCTTATGGACTCCTTCACCTTTACCCAGCATGTTTCTGGCCCCACACACACCAAGAGGAACACTCTAGACCTTGTTTTTACCTTGAGTCTAAATGCTGACAGTGTTTGTCCTGAGGACATTTATATTTCAGATTTTCTTTAACTTGTTAGTTTCTGCGTCCCCACCTCCTGCTCGCCGTATGGTTAGTTATCGTTTTCTTAATGACAGCACAGCTAGCAAGTATTCTGCTGCTTTTGAGCCACGCTGTTCTTCTGGCAACAACCCAGATTCCTTAACTTCTCAGTTCAACGAGCACTGCCTCTCCATTCTGGACAACATCTGTCCTGTCAGAACCAGATCAGTTCCTGCTGTGAACCCTACTCCCTGGTTTAATGACAGCCTTCGCAGCCTGAAGCACCAATGCAGAAAAATTGAGTGCTTGTGGAAGAAAACCCATCTCCATGTCCATCTGCTGCACCTAAAGGATCTTCTGACATCCTTTAACTCTGCAGTCAGAGACGCCAGGGTTTCCTATTTCTCCATCCTGGTGTCCCAGAGCAAAGGGAACCCCAAGGTGCTGTTTAACACCATCAGCAGCACTGTCTCTCCTGTCTCTCCTACAGCCTCCATCCACTCTGTTACAGACTGTGAGAACTTTCTGTCTTTCTTTGTGGACAAAGTCAATAAGGTTAGATCTAGCATCTCTCCTTCAGCCTTATCGCTGCCTCTCCCGACTCCAACCAGGCCCATCATCCTTGATAGCTTTGCTCCTGTTTCTTTGCCTGAGTTAACCAAACTAGTTAACTCTATGAAGACCTCTGCATGCATCGGCATCTTACCCTCATCTTTGTTTAAAAGTGCTTTTCAGTCCATCGGTCCCAGCGTGCTCTCTATAATTAATGCTTCTCTGGTTTCTGGTCAGGTCCCTGCTTACTTTAAGAACACTGTAATCCACCCACTTCTTTAAAAACCAAGTCTTGACCCAACTCTAAACCTCTGTTCATCTCAAAGATCTTGGAAAAGGTTGTGGCTAAATAACTCACAGCTGCTCTTGATGAACATAACATCTATGATGGCTTCCAGTCAGGTTTTCGTAGAGCTCGTTCTACTGAAACAGCTCTTCTTAGGGTCTCTAATGACCTTCTGACTCACGGTGATGCAGGGGACTGTTCTGTTCTGGTCCTGCTGGACCTGACTGCAGTCTTTGACACTGTTGACCATCACCTGCTACTGGAGAGGCTGGGAGACTGGGTAGGCCTATCAGGAACTGCTCTGGAGTTGTTCTCCTCATCTTTCTGAGCGCTCCTTTTCTGTGGCCGTCTCCAGGTTTAGGTCCTCCACCACCTCCCTTACCCATGGTGTCCCACAAGGTTCTGTGCTGGGGCCTCTACTCTTCCTTCTCTATCTGCTTCCTCTTCAGCACATCCTGAGCTACTTCAAAGGAATCTCCTACCATCTTTATGCATATGACATCCAACTGTACATCTCCTTTAAGCCCCATGAGATGTCTAAGCTGCAGCTGTTACACACCTGCTTAGAATCTATTAAAACCTGGATGGCTGGGAGCTTTCTACAGCCGAATGAAGATAAAACTGAGATCCTCATCTGTGCCCCAGACAAGCTGGTTCCCAAAGTCAGAGACTCTCTTGGTCAGCTTGCTTCTCACACCAAACCTTCCATCAGGAATCTTGGTGTGACCTTTGACCCAGCTCTCACCCTGGATTCTCATGTCAGTTCTCTTGTTCGCTCTTCCTTCTTCCATCTCAGGAACATTGCTAAGCTGAGTCCCATTCTTTCCCGCTCTGAACTTGAGACAGTTATCCACACCTTCATCTCCTCATGCTTAGACTACTGTAACTCTCTTTTCACGTGTCTGAGCAGAACCTCCCTGAACCGTCTACAGGTGGTTCAGAACGCCTGTGCTCAGCTTCTGACCAAGTCCTCCAAACACATCCACATCACCCCGCTTCTCCTCCAGATTCACTGACTGCCAGTCAACTTCAGGGTTCATTTCAAGATCCTGGTTCTGGACTATAGGGCCTTACATGGACAAGCACCATCATACATTGGTGATCTTCTTAGTCCTTACACCCTCAGCAGGTCCCTGAGGTCCAGTGATCAAAGCCTACTGGTTGTGCAGCACCAGGCTAAAGACCAAAGGTGACAGATCATTTGCTGCTGTGGCCCCCAGACTCTGAAACTCTCTCCTCCTGAGCCTGAGATCAGTGGACTCAGTGGTCTCCTTCAAAAAGCAGCTGAAGACTCACTTGTTCAAAGTGGCTTTTGTATGACCTTCTTCAACCACTCTCTCTTTATTCAGCTCTCCCCACCTATTCCACCTTCCTCAGGATCCACTGATTTCCCTCTTTCCTATTCACTCTCTCTTTCTTAACATTTTTTAATCACAATTGTCTATGTTTTGCTCATTTAAAATATATTTTTAACCATTTTCTAAATTATTTTTTATATTTTTACATTTATTGTTTTTGTTAAGCGCCTCGTGATTTTTATCTTGAGAGACACTATAGAAATTATATTTTCTTCTTCTTCTTTGCAATGTTGTTTTTTCCCTTTATGAACAACATGTCTGTCTGTGTTCTGCAGTGTTGTGGTGTCGCTAATGCTAATGTTAGCTTTTTGTAATTGAAATGTTCTCTGCTGTTTCCTGGACGCTAAACCAACAACAGTCTTCTCCGTCATGAGTCAAGATGGGTTAGTCCATGAATGCTAATTTACATTGTAACATAGATCTTAGTGGGTTTTTCCCAACCCATCTATTTTCTGTTGGTGGCTAATACAGGAAATAGGAGTAGAAGACCATTTTCAAGTTCTGCATGCATGTGAAACTCAAGGTGACTGATTGTCTTCCAAAATAACGAGTAAAAAATGTTTGTCAGTGTAATTATTCTATTTCTACATACCCTTTAAGTCAAGGTTCTTGGCCCCCATCGTGGTCTGTGTGGTAACTTTGGTGTCAATCTTGACTGTGTGCAGGTTGTTAGTGTCCCGGGAAATGTGCACATTATGCCAGTGGTTGTCGTTAAGAGGACTGTTAGAGTTGCCCTTGATCAAGTGTGCTCCATTGCCCAAGTCAGAGATGTAATGAAGGTAGCTGCAGGAAGAACAATGAATAAAAACGGGGGAAAGAAGGGGTTAAACAAGCGAGAAGGCAAATTAATCGCTCTTGTGATGAAGAACAGCAGGGTTATACACTTCAGGGCATTATTAACTGTCTTGTACAAGCTTAATTACAAGACTCAAAAAGGAGGTGCTTAGCTTAGGCATTTTTCATGTTATACATTTAGCAGCCCAGTTTAACCTTGCTGTCAAGAATATTTCCCTTTTTTGTTCACCAAGGACAAACTTAAGAGTAATCTGCCCATAAAAAGAAAATAAATTACACTTCTAATCATTTATGTTGGGCAGATTTCACCGTAAACAAAGGAAACATAATTAATTTAATCTCCTATAGATCATCTTCAATCCTATTAAAAAATGAACAAACTCATAAAGGTACATTACACACATTTTATCATTTGGCTTACCCTTTAACCAGCTCTACGACTATAAAGTCATTGCCGTCTCCCCTGTTGAAGAGAATGAGACCATCGGGGGATGTTGTCTTGAACTGCAGGAAGAGGTGCATTGAGTAGTAGGCCTGCAGTGTGGGCAGTGTGACAAAGCTGGAGCGGGAGCGGAAGGTGATGGGGTCAGCCACGATGCTCTTGTAGCCGATGACGGCATTGAGCTCACAGTAGTCGATGTCGCCATTCTTGCACAGGTCAATGTAGGGCATGCCATTAAGCGTCAGGCCCTGCAGGTGGCCGATGAAATTGGAGGGCACGGCGGGCATGAAGCGTTTCTCCGTCACGATGCCCGTCTCCACATTGTGGAACTCGAGCTGGGTGTGGTCGCCCGCCATCTGACCTGGTGGCGGGTGTAAACTTCAGAGATGAGGGGTCTGAACAGATCAGCTTCAAGAGCAATTGTTCCACTCTAATGCTCATGTTACCACAATAACACGTGCTGTAACCAGTAAAACAATGAAAAACTATATTTGGTTGCTGTGGTTACCTTCAACAGGCTGCAGGTCATCCACGGTGAGTTTCAGGCTCTTGCCGCGTCGGACCACCCTCACTGTGTGCCATTCATTATCATTGAGGCTTGACCCAGCAAAGATGGTCTCTGGGCCTTTACCTACACATAGCCCAGAGCACCGTTAACACAACGCACAAAGACATGGAGAGAAACAGAGTGATTGCAGAGACAGGAAATGAAAGCCAGATCGAGAGAAAGGTAGAGCCAGGAATAAAAGGACAACAGTCGAGGAAATGGAGTTGCAGAAAGGAAAGGAATAACAAAAAAAATACAAATAAAAATAACATCCTGGGGAGACAAACACCTCTGTGCCAACTCACACAAGCAGACAGACGCATCTCCTTGAAGATAAAGCAGTGAGAGATGGATGATGTGACACAGACAGGCAGAAAGATTAACATAAGTGAATGCTTTGGGTGTCTAAGATGGAGACTGTGAGTCACAACAGGCCCACGCTAGGACAATCCATCTGTGAACAGATTACACCACCATGTTGACCACCTGCAGCCCACACATGCACAGACTGCACACTTGCACCCCCTTGACCACCCATAATCCCTCCAACCTCCACAGATTTGTATACTTGAATAAACAATCAGACGTGCAAAGCTGCCACGAGCCTCTGGGTGGCACTAAACTCACAGAGGAGCATCAGGGTGCTCTCCAAGGTGCTGATGTGCAGCAAAATGAAGGGAGCTGTGATATCTTTGCATGATGTTCCTCTCTCTCTTTCTCGCTCTCTCTTTGCCCATCTACAGCCTCATATCTTCACATACTTGGCTGCACACATTTGACAGACTGACAGCGTCCCCTTGCTCTGCACTTTACAACTACCCCTCCAACCTTGAACACGACACCCACCACCTCCTAACACACACTCACACGCAGTCCCCCTTTCCTGCTCCAAAAGCGCTTCTGGCTTCAGAACCGTGACTGAGTCTGCTTACAGTGACCTATAGGAGGTAATGATGGCGGAGGGGGAGGTGAGAAGAAAACTGACCTGAACAGATTCTGCTGCAGAAAATGTCAAGCATGTCTACATCAATCACAAAAGTACGCAGCCAGGCAGGCACACACAAACACACAGGTGGAGCGGCGAAGAAAAGATGCTGACGCACAAACTTAATTAAACAAATATGAGAAGTCGATCAAAATGGAAGTGGCAGCGTGAAATAGACCAGTGCGCTGGCATAGCTGAAAGAGTGTGCTGTGCATTAAGAGAGGACACAGGGTTCCCCTGAGGAGACTCAGCTGTGCTCTGGGCAAAGCATCTCATCCAGTTACCATGGATCACTGCTTAGCACTAAGGAAAGAGAATATGTGTGTGCTTGTTTGGGTTTCTGTGTGAGTGAGTGTGTGTGTGTGTGCTCATTTCCACATGCAACCAAATACTTGGAGTATGAGCAGATTGATGTGAGAGCGAGGCAGTGATCTGTCTCAACCTGGGAGCACGGCGTAACGCAGACACGCACCTATTTTAGGTGAGCGCTAAAAGGGCATCAAGCACGATAGGCTGAGACTAATGAAGAGCCAGCAGACAGTCTGCAGTCTGTCAGGGTTAACATCAAAAGACAAGAGAGGCTGTTTGCTGCAATGGAAACACAAATCTAAACGACCGTAAGAGGAGGATAATGAAAACAAAACGAAAGACGCAATTAATTTTCCATCTGATCGACACAACAAACGGCTTCTCTGAGGGATAAGTCTCAAATCTCTGCAGCGCTGGGGCTTTTGTTGACTGCTGAGTGGACCGTTTCAGTGGCGCCTGGCTGTTAAACACATTTTTTCCCTCCTCTTTGAATATGATGTGTATAATTTATTGTATGCACAGTGTGCCAGAAAAGTGGCTGCCTACTGAAATCTTCATTGAGACAACCGATCTAAAATTGGCCAGCAGACATTCGGAATAGCAACGGCGCTGTGTGGCTAGTAGGGGTTTCTATGGCAACTGCAGTCGTCCATTTCACCACCTCCTTGACGCCACAGAGCATTCGCCCCTCTTCATCTCACTCGCTCTCCGTGGTCGTGACAGAAACTCCACGAGAGGGAATTAAACTTCATCGGGGATTCAGCTCCCCTCACAGTGGGATGAACACACACAACACACACTTCCGGGACAACACACCCAGACAAAACACAGCAGACGCAGATGGGCGACAGCAAGAGACACTCATTCAAATGACAATGAAAAAATCCTCTCTCCTCCACAGCTAACAGAACAAGGGGAGAGAAAATAAAAAGATAAAGGTGTGACACTGAAATGATAGAGGGATAGCATAAAGGAGAAGTAATTAGCCTTCAGCTCTGAGTTACATTCATCCACCTGCTTCCTCTGCTCCTCTCTTCTTTCTTAACACACTTAATTTCACTAGAACACCTCCTACTCACACTCTTTATTCTTCCTCTCCTTTTATTTCCCCCCTGCCTTCAACCCCCACCATCCTGCCTTCCATCCATCCTTCTTTGCTAAAATGGCCGACCTGCAAAACTCTGGCCCTCAGCAAAAATCGCGCCTCTCCTGCAGTGTATCAGAACACACACACACACACACACACACACACACACACACACACACACACACACACACACACACACACACACACACACACACACACACACACACACACACACACACACACGCACACACACACACGCACACACACATTTGCACACGGCCTCATGGTACAAAGATGTGTTGAATACAAGATTAGGATGAAATGACTGAACACGACAAAAGGAGTGAAAAATATTCACATTAAAAGCACTCAGTGCAGCTCTCTCTCTCTCTCTCTCTCTCTCTCTCTCTCTCTCTCTCTCACACACACACACACACACACACACACACACACACACACACACACACACACACACACACACACACACACACACACACACACACACACACACACACACACACACACACACACACACACACACACACACACACACACACACAGAGGAGGATGAGGGAGGAGTTAGGTGAGATGGAGGATCACTTACTGGCTGTACAGTTTATCCTGATACAGTCTGGAGGGAGAGCAGAGCAGAGGGTTAATGCTGCACACACAGACATACTCCCCACGCCCTGGGGACGCACACATCGACACACCCTTTGTATTTACACAAACACACTGCTGAGAAAACACTCGCTTCTTACAGAGCCGTGAAACAGACCCTATGTTTTCCTTCAGCAGCGTGCAGCAAATTTATTCCTCTTAGCTTTAACTTGCTTTAAGCAAATTAGAAAAACTCATCTGGATGTCAGCAATCAAAAGCAGTGGGAGACTGATATGGGTAATGTGTGTCGGTTTGTCTGATGACACCGAACACATCCCAACAGCTTAGTCACCCAAACAGAAGACAAATCTTCACAAACACTCGGAAGATTCAGCCCTCTTTTTATTTCATTTTTCAAAACGATGATTTGGTGTGTCGTGTGGCATCAACCACAGAAAAGACGTGGCTGCAGACAACCAGAGACCGACACATGCATCCCTCTGTGAGGATGTGTGTGTGTTGTTAGCTTGTGAAGTTGTTTGAGGTTTCACGTGAGAGTGAGCAGCTGAGAAGTAGAGTGAGAGCAGAAAATGAACAAAAAAGTGAGGAATAAACAAAAAGACCAAAAGGACTGCTGGTATTTGTGTTTTGTTGAGAGTGTGAGTTTTTTGATTGATTGATGTAGATGTCAGGGATGCACAGGTCTGCTGGGAGTGAGCAGAGAGAATGCAGCTCCAGGCTTGACCCTCTGTTCACCAGTGCTTGGTGTGTGTGCAAACAATATAGCAGAAATAAATAAATAAATAAACTCTTGAGTCATCCCTTGTTTTTTTTATATTTTGCAGCTAAGAAGACATTTTCTTGTTATGTTTGAAACTGGTCTTGCTTAGGAAACTTCAGGTATTTGGTTTTTAAAAAGATTTTTTTTAACTGGCTGCTTATTTCATTATTTTTTGCTAAAAAAAGACAGATTTCACATTTCAATCTAAAATTTCAGAAACTCTCTAAAATGTAGAAAAACAAAACAAAACTTTGCTCAACCTAGCTGCAAACATACCAAAGAAAGAGTATTAGGAAAGGTTTATTTATAAGTAGCTTTCCATAAAAACAGATAAATAGTTTAATTTTCTTTGTTTTTGTAAAAAAAAAAAACCACAGAAGAGGATCGCTGAAAAGAACAAAAAGAAAGAAAAGAAATAGAATTTAGACTTTTTGACTTTTGAAAAAAAGCCTGAATTCCTTTACTTCTCTTTTTTTCTTTTCATTGGCCCTAAGCTCCATAAGCTCCCCCATAAAGCCCAAACACAACAGTTTGACACATAAAACTGTATTTTACCTCCATCACAGGGTTTCTGAAGAGCGTTTAGCTGAAAACATGACTCACAGAATATCAACTGAAACATGATGCATCTCTCTGGTCTTTACACCAATGCTTTCGTTATTTCTTTGCTTTCCCATCTGCTGCAGTCAGGTTTTAACTGACTGAACTAAACATGCTTTAAAAAGCAACCAAAGTCCAATTAGTTTCAGAAAACCCAAAAAGCCTCTAAAACAAGACCACCTTCACTTATTTTAAGTAAGTCCAGATGTTAAGTGTGGTAAATATGTGTAAATGCTAAAATACAAGTATCAAAGCTATCTAGAATAGTAAAATTACTTATGAAAACACTTCTGGATGACAGTTTCTCTGAAATCTCAGAAATAGAATTATTAATCAACACATTAATCTATGCAACGAATAGCCAAGAGGCCAACAACAGCTGCATTCCCCTGACAGATCATTAAATTAAAGATCCCATGTTTTTGTGTGCATGGGTGTACCTAGGTTTACAGTGAGTCGGACACGACCCCCATCTAGCTCCAGACGAAGAGTGTCAGCGGAGTTACGGGATGTGGTTGCCATGAGAACGCCATAGGCCCGCTGGGAGCGAAAGCGCAGTGAGACGTCCTCCGCTTCGGTGTGCATCACCACAGGCAAGTGCACCTTCATAAACTTACTCCCATCATACGAGAGGATGGTTGCATCTGAACAGGAACAGAGAGAGAGAGACGGATGAGAAGGGAGAGACAGAAGAAGGAGACGAGAGACAAGTGGAGGACAAGAAGAGAAAAATGGGAATGAAAAAAAAGAGATTGACAGGGGAAAAAACCCCACAAAGACAAAAGCACAAAAGCATTCTGACAAAGAGTGAATCAGATTTAAACATGACAGAGTGTGTTTCTGCTCCGTTACACTCCCTCGCTCCCCAGCCACGACATGTTGAGACTCAAAACCTGCTTCCAACAAAATTATCCCGTCACTTTCCACTCCTGATTCATCATCACTCCCTCGCCTCTGAGAAGAGGGTGCAAAAATAGCTGCAGCTGGTTGGCTGGCCCTATTATCCGGTTAAATCAGAATGCACGGTGTCGAGTGTGTTAGCCACCGTCGCTGACATCCCAGACCCCGGAGTCATAATGTAACAAGCTCAGGTGATCCCACTTTAATGTCTTTTGCATACTCATTTACATATTCATCATCTCCTCTGCCTGTAACCTGCTGGGGCCAGTCCCCCGGCCGCCAAACTGTTTACCTCAGAGAGCCCTGCTTTTATTGGACAATTACATACACAACTAAACACACTCTCCATGCATTTGCCTTCTGATCTCTCCTCTCTTCCTCCTATATCTCTCCACCCAATTTCTTCCCTTCAGTTTTGCTCAATCTGTTTCTGTGGGAGATGGTTATAGCCAAGGCAGAAAAAAACCCCAAGAGAACAGGAAGGGAGGAAGGCGTCGTGAATACTGATGAGCTGAGAAGGAGGGAAAGAGGGAGATAGTGTGTGTGTGTGTGTGTGTGTGTGTGTGTGTGTGTGTGTGTGTGTGCATGTCAGAATAAGTGAGTGAATTTAAGTGTGAACAGAGAAGGGTTTAGTAAAGTGAGAGCAGGGGGGGGGGGGGAGGGAGAAAATAAGAACAGAGCATGAAAGAGAGAAAGGAAGAGGCAGAGGCAGCGAGGCTCTTGGCTAAAATGCAAATGAACCCTCATTAACTGGAGGAAAAAAAGAAGGTGGTTTTTGCCTGTTATATTACAGACAACATAACTAGTAGACACACACACACACACACACATGCACGCACGCACACACGCACACACACGCACACACGCACACACGCACACACACGCACACATGCACACACACACACACACACACACACACACACACACACACACACACACACACACACACACACACACACACACACACACACACACACACACACACACACACACACACACACACACAGGTGCACACGTGCATGCATTTTTGATAAGGGAGACAGCTGACTATATTTCCCTCTCCATGGCACCTGACTCACAACCAGCCAAACGGAGGGTGGAAAGTCGTTGGGAAGGAAGAGTGCAGCTCTCTTTATGCCAGGAAATGAAAAAGAAAACGACAGCAGAATGCACTCCGGCTGCACATATGGATCCTTCCAAACAGCATAAGTGAAAGATGAAATCAGTTAACCCTCTGGAGGCAGGCGTTGCAGATTAGCAACAGTTAAAACCTACCTACCTGGTTACTCTACATACGTATTTCATGAGCAAATTATAACTCAGAAGTACCCCTGAAGGACTTAGTTGTTCGTCATTTTATCAAAACTTATTTTGAGCCTGAGAGGGTTAAACTCTATATTTCTCACCAGTGTTGAAGATTCAGTCAAAACTCCAGAGAAAACATCGCCTTTATGTCTAAATGTTTTCTGTCTTAGCTCGTATCTGATGCTCTCAGCCAGAGAAACATACAGCAGAGGGGAAAATATTCAGAAAAGCTACATAAAAGGGTCTTTTAAAATTACCATTTGAGTGATTTATATTCAAAAACAGGCTTAATGGAAGCATGACGAAGAGGAAAAGGAGTAAAATCATTTGCTGTGATAACCTGTTGCCCGCTGTCGGAGTACTCTCATGCAAGATGGTTTGAAAGCAGATAAAAACGTTCACATTTATTTCAGTTTTATTTGACAAAATAGATGATTGACAATCAAAATCCTTCAAACTTTACTGACGTCTTGACAGCAAATTCAAAACAGGCCAGAAATGGACCTAAAAGTAAATGTTGGTCCCGCATTTAAATGCTGCTTCAGTGGGTAGTCAGCTTAAAAATAAAAACCTATAAATTTGTAAACAAAATGTTCTTTCCAAACTTATTTGAACTTAGGAAAGAACATTGTTTGGTGTTAATTCAAAAAAGTTCACATTTATAGAAATCATCAAAAAAACGAGGCCAACGAATAAAAACAAGGAATATGCATCCTTTTAATGATTAGTGCCATCTGTAATTTGCAGCTTTGTAGCAGATGAAAAAAAGGACTTGGATTAGTTCCCAAAACAATGAAGGAATTTCAAAATAATTCCACCGGCAGCTCATTTAGCTTCAGACGCTCAGATGAAAATAGATTAAAAGCCCAGAATCTTTATGGGAGCCCTTTTGGGGGTAGTAGCTATCCAAGAGTGCACAGAACTCTGTGGTTCCTGAGAAACCACACAGAACCTGGTTCTGCAAAAAATAAAAATATTATTAATAATCAAAGTAGAAAGAGTAATAATGTTCCTGTGGAGGTTAAAGAGTGCATATTGTCTATAAATGGTATTTTAATGACATTTCCAGAACAACTTCATCAGATATAGCTCTACAACTGGTTAGCTTTCAGAATCAATACTATTAAAGACGGATGCCACAATTAAATAACGTTATCAAACATAAAAATGCAGATATAGAGCACACATTTGAGGCAAGACTCATTTCTCGGCACAAAATTGATCAAATTTCATCATTTCTCAACATGAAATTATCTCTAAAACTCTTGCTCGAAGAGGCCAAAGTGCAGTCATATTAACTGGTTATGGCAGACTTCACACATCTGAACAGTTTGGCGAAATCCTGCTATTGGCTATGTTCATTCGTCCTTCTCTTGAACTGCTTGTGCCTTTAAAATCTGAATGTGAAGCTTTTTAAAACAAACAGCCAAGTGAGGTTTAATATATTGTCCTCGCTTTTCCATCGGTGGTCACATCATGTTACCATTAAGGTAACGACAGCTGCTTCCTTTGGTCTTTGTTTGGCCCACATCGCAGGTTATCAATTAAAAGATCTGCACGAAAATTCAAATCTTTGTGTTTTTGGGGCAGCAGTAGCTCAACAGGTTGAGCGGGTTGTCCAGTAATTGGAAGGTTGCAGGTTCAATCCCGGCTCCGGACAGAGAATTCTGCTGTTGTGTCCCTGGGCAAGACACTTAACCCACCTTGCCTGCTGGTGGTGGTCGGAGGAACCGGTGGCGCCTGTGCTCGGCAGCCTCGCCTCTGTCAGTGCGCCCCAGGGCAGCTGTGACTACATCGCAGCTCATCATCATCAGTGTGTGAATGTGTGTGTGAATGGGTGAATGATGCACTGTAGTGTAAAGCACTTTGGAGTCTTTACTCTGAGAGGCGCTATACAAGCGTGGATCATTTGTTTATCATTTTTAATTTGTTTATCAAGATTTAAATTGACACTTTGTGTAATGCATATGTTGACACTCTCTAAAAGAAGATTAATTTCAAGGCCTCACATCAAAAACAAGGAGATAAGCCTTCAAACAAAACAAAATGAATCCCAAAGCCAAAGCATGACGTTTGTTTAATAAAGAGTGGGAGAACGAGGAGGGGACAAAAGGATGGAGAAAACCACAGGTAGAAGGCATAAACACGGCCAATCACTCTCTCCATCTGCTTCTCCATCTGTGCTTCCTCAATCCAGTGAAGCACCAGTTAGTGACCCCTCAGTGCACACAGAGAGGGAGGAAGAAAGATACAGACAGGAAGAAGAGAAAAGAAAAGGAAAAAGAGGGCACGCTGCAGATTTTTGTCCTCAGAAATAAAACATTTCCTTATCGGCCTCTCAGAAAGCGTGTGCGCATCAGTGTGTGTTTACTGTATATCTGCTGTTGGGTGATAGCACAATCATCACTTGAGACGCATCAGCAGTTGTGACACAAACAACATTTTGTCTTTTTTTCTTGTCTGACTCCATCTCGCTCCTTTCAGCAGGCCTCTATCAGTTCCCTCTGCCAATCTTTCCTGACTTGTCATTCCTCCCACCGTGTCAAACACATACCTTTTCTCATTGCTCCCAGTCAGATTTTCTTTTGCCATGTTCCATTCTTCCTCCTCTTCTTCCTCTCTTCCCAGCATGCTGTCATGCGGTGGTTCCAGCCTGGTGAATCCACCCTTCTCTGTCACAGCTCCTGCTCACTGCTATCTGCACATTTCCTCTCTCATCGATTCCCAGTCACTACATCTATAGCAGTCCAATAGTCCTGTCTGCAGCTCGGCTTCCTCCCACCACTTTTCTTTCACCTTTGTTCCTCCTCTCCTCTCCCTGCCTGCCTTTTTTACTACACCGTCTCTGACACAGAAAAATGTGTAATTTTGAACAAAGAAAAAAATGGATCCAGCCAAAGATGGAAAACCAGCACTATAAATATTTTTGTTGCTGAGCATTTTCCTCGCGCCCTTGTTTTTCGTCTCCACCTATTTAAGCCGGCCGTCCTCATCCCTTCTGTTTCCGTCTGCATCACAAGGGGCGTAATGGAGGCTAAGCTCCATTTCAGCTGTTTTATTTGAAAAAGACTTTAGACACATTTTTATCTACCATAAATTTTTACGAGGGCGGCTTTTTAGCACATCAGAGCGAGTACTGTCATGCTGATGTGATCTGTTGGGATGAGGCTTTTAAAGGAAGAAAAGCATAACTCAAAGGTAAAATGAATAAAAATTTTATAGCCCAATATAACTGATGATCATAATATATTTCCAGCAGAGGATGAGGTTATTTCTGACATTAAGACTTCACATCATCTGTCTGCTGTCACTCATTCTTTTTGACGTCGCCCTGTGTTATCGAGATGACAAACAGCGCCGCTGTCGTCATGACTGTGTTCTACATCCGGACACTGTCCACTGTTTAGAGGCTGTTTTCACTGACTCATCACTACTGTGACGAGTCTTTATCTATGACAGACTTTGTGACTCTCACCTCTCTCACAGGAGCGTCCCAGGTATCCGGTCCCAGAGCAGTCACAGACGTAACGGTTCCAACCCTCCCTGCAGACGCCGTTGTGCTGGCAGGGGTTGGACAGGCACTGTTTGGGAGGCTCTCTGGAGCAGGAGGGCTTCACGCCGACCGCCCTCTGGGCCTCAGCGAGACGCCGGATGTCTTTACTCTGACCGTCCACAAACAGGTCTCTGATGCAGCCAACGTAGCCGTAGTTCAGTAGCGCCGTCCACACCTGAGGAGGATAGTTAAGTTAAAGTCTCATCAGTTATAACACACGCTGGTGTGTGGTGGAATTTGTCCTCTGCATTCGACCCATCCCTGTGGGGAGCGGTGAGCTGCAGACATGGCTGCGCTCGGGAACTATTTGGTGGTTTAACCCCCCAATCCAACCCCTTAGACATGCATGAAACATGCTGGAACTAGAATGCAGAGCCAGAAATGTCCTTATCCTCAATTTTTTTTTGGTCCTAACAGCCCAGAGTGGAATATTTTTGACCACAGGGGTAGATAGGGGCTGGGTGACATTTTATTAACCCTGTAAAGCAGGGCTATTCTATTCCGGGCCTTGGGGGATGGTATCCAGCACGTTTTGGTTTTAACCCTGCCTCATCACACCTGATTTCAATCAGTAGGTGATTAACAGGCTTCTGCAGAGCCTCGTGAGCTGCTGCACAGGTTATTCAACCACTGAATCAAGTGTGTTGGACCAGAGAAACCACTGAAACGTGCTGGATACCGGCCCTCGAGGCCCTGATGTAAAGGGTTATTTTGAAAATGGTTTAAAAATGTCAAAAAAAAAAGTCAAATTATCAAGTAGGAGGACGCTGGATCCAATTTTGGAATAACCGGACCTAAATTTAGACCCGATCTCCCAGTCCCAGAGCAGACACTCACACCACTAGGCCACTGAGCTGAGTAAGCCACCATGGTGAAAGACTCATCTGCATCGTTTGGTGTGAAACAGATTTTTTTTTTCATTTATCGGCAAAAAGTTTGAACTCAAACTAGACTCTCATCCAGGATCGCCTAAAGTCCTTTCATCTCTTTGTTGTACTTCTTTTTAAAAAAAGATGCAATCCATGAGAATTAGTCCTACTAAGAAAGAACAAAATCTGTGCGAGAGGAAGAAGTATCGTGTTTGACAACTCAAAGGCACCCAGGCGCTGAGATTTTGAAGACTGCATTATGCTGCCACTTTGTAACGCTTTGTAGTGCTTTGTTCAATTAGCACAGTCTGAATTTAAAAAAAGGGAAAGTAAACTTGAAAATGTAAATTATTTTTCCTTCTAATCAATGGATAATTGCCAATTTTTGCAAAAATTTGTAACAAAGTTGTTGATTGTCAAAACTTGTACCAATATTGTGCTTAGAACGAAAGATTTGATGAAAAACAGTGAAACTCGAGGTGGTGAGATGAGTGGGAGCAGGAATGAGGACCTTTTTAATCAGCTGCTAGAAGATGCCGTGGATGTGTTGGATGGAGACGTTTGCAGGAGGGAGTAGGCATCAATTTAAAACAGCGTGACTCTATCAGAACTATCACAGTTAATTCTGTCATTAATCACGCAGGAGAAACGTGGCACGAAAAAAAATGCACCATCAATCAACGGCAGCTTAATGCAATGCACTCAGCAGCTTTTCAGGCTTTTTGCATCCATTTTAGACTACCTTGTTTCTTGCTATCAACACGATCCTGTTGCATTTTATCGACCGTGTGATCAATGTGTGCACATGGGCTGTTTTGCTGCTGAATCCCAGCAGGAAAACCTGTGAATATGCTGTTTAAATGCTCTGCATTACTTCTTTTAGCAAAATATTCAATGGTTTACAGCAAAAAAATCTAACTTGACAATTCAAAATAATTCATTCAGAACATTTAAATTCATAAAGTGATTTAAGAAAATCACAATTGTTAATTATCTCTGTGGTTATGCTGCTTTAGGCTAAGACTGCTGGAGGACACACTGACCACTTTCCACACTCGACTACTTTCTTCTACAGTTTGCTGTTTAGCTGTATTATTTCCTGCTATTTAAGCTGTTAACTTTAATTTTTCTCTAAGTGTTTTTCTCCCCAGAAGAAGCTACAATGATGATCTGCTGAGCTGTGGTGCCCTCATGGAGGGGGCCATCAGCTTGAACACTGTTGCTAACCACTTAAACTTTCTCCCCCTCCTGATGATAACATTTTACTTATTTTGACATTGAATGTGCTACTACTAGTTTACCCATTTAATGATAGATTCACTAAATACAATAAAGTTTATCTCTTACTAAATAGAATATTTACTAAGAAATCACAATGTAGCCATAGGAACACTACTTCGTATGTGTGTGTGTGTGTGTGTGTGTGTGTGTGTGTGTGTGTGTGTGTGTGTGTGTGTGTGTGTGTGTGTGTGGGCGGGTGGGTTGGTGTTGGTGTATGCGTGTGTGTCTGCTCTGTCTTCTCGATCCCCAGTGAGTCGTGGTGGATGGCTGCTTATACTGAGCCAGGATCCTCTGGAGGTTTCTTCCTGTTAAAAGGGAGTTTTCCTCTCCACTGCCACTAAATGCTTGCTTAGTATGAGGATTGCTGTATAGTCACTGACACTAGTTAGTGACTTGATGCAATTTGCTGGGTTCCTTATATAGGAAACTTTTTACTGATTGGCTTAATGAACTGACCTGTTTTGGAATGTTTATTATGTGAAGTGCCTTGAGACGACTTTAGTGGTGATTTGGCACTATATAAATAAACTAGAACTGAATTTGCGACCTCTAAAAAATGAGATATTTCAGATTTTTTCAAAATGTTTTTTATTTGGAAAATGCTAATTTAACCAATCAGATCAACATAGTGCCAAGATGGGAAAACAACTTGGATGAATCAGTCCCAAATTTGAATAGTGACATGATGTAGACAGACAACACCAGAACACAAACCTCTGTAGGGAAGATGAGTCCCGCTCGATCCTCAGGAAGTCCCCCCAGGTACAAGGTGTCATCCAGGTCCAGGATCTCGTTGTCTCCCGGGGCCGTGTACGCCGTTCTCAGACTGTTCACCGAGATAGTTCCTGAATACATCAAAGCATCCTTAGAAATTACTCTGACCGTGAGCACGAACATCCTCATCGCAATCATCAATGTCATCACCACCGCCATTACAACGGCCATCATCATCATCATGATTCTTTCTCCTCTTCCTGCTCTTCTCCTTGTCATCACCCACACATCGCTGTTATAATCAGAGGCAATTGAAAACCACACATGCCTCAGTTGTCACGTAGGGCCTTTGAAGCTAGGGTGGACGGTCATTTTATGGTGTTAAGAGGAAAATTTCAGTAATAAGCTTTCAGGATATTGTGAATTCAGGGGTCTGGGGTGTAGATAAACTTCTGTAGCACATGATGTCTGTTTCCTGGCTGTATAAAATGTCACTGACTATGGGAGATTTAGCCCAGTTGGAGGGATTTGAGATAAAATCAGGTAAAATAGCCACATAAAAGCCAACAAAGGAATACACAGGCCAATCAGAAGAAATCAGGTTTTGATTTGTGTCTTTTTTTAGTGCATTTAGCCAACACCCATTCCCCCATTTCATACAAAAATGGGTGGAACTACAACAAAGAGTTGTTTCCCTTCTTTGCCTCTTCTAGTCTTCTGCCAACTCCAGCAGGTTTAAAAGTTACACGTTTGATGTTTGTCACAAATAAATCATTAATTTGCTTATTTTTAGACATTAATACAATTAAAATATTCCAACAAGACCCCGTTGAGAACACTGCCAGCCTCTTCTGAGGGCTTTTAGAGAATAATTAATGGAGGTGGAACAATAATGATATAAAGACCAGGCAAAGAACAACGTAAGAGCAGGCCTATTGAGGAGAGCTGTGGGTCTACCTGAGCGTCCGTCTCTCTGGAAGTCAACGTGATACCACTCTCCATCGTTCACCTTTCTGTCAATGGCCTTCGTCTTTGTGGTCCCTGACCCCATGTCCAGCAGCAGGTACAGGTGTCCATCCAGCATTTCAATGGCAAAAAAATCCACCTGCATGTTTGACACGTATCAGTATTCTGGGAACAGGACTTTGTTCAGTTTGACATTTAAGAATCATTCCCTTAAGAATGTGTTTTATAGAGATAAAAGGACTCTCGGCAGCGTATACAGGCATCAAATAAAACTAAAAAGTAATTCCAAATCGAATATTTTTGCTACCTCTAAATACTGTTTGTTCTTGTTTTAATTGGCTTTTACAAACGTTTGCGGAGTACACTCAGCAGTGTTTGGGGTCACGAGTCTTTTTAATTGTATGGATCAAGAGCAAAAATGTTTACAAATAACTGGTATAGAGTAATAATTATCAGACAGAGTCTAGGTTTTCTCAGTAAAAGGTGATGAAAGGATAAATATTCAGCACATTTATAAACGTTTCAGTGAACAGAAAGAAAAAACAGTGTTTTTATTTTTGATAAGAGGAGAAATAAAATTAGAAGTCATGAATTTTGATTAGTTATTTGTGTTTGATCATATATCTCAGACTAAATAAAGAAGTGAGAGATGGTCTGTTCTTCCGTGCCACTGTTCCATTAGTATGTGTTTTCATTATGACTTCTCGACACCTGAGGATTGGATTTAGACACTCGTGTCTCACCTTGTTAACAAAACTTTAACCAGACAGAAGTGGTTTGCTCCACCATCAGAATGTATCTCTTTATTAAAACTTTATTGACATTTAAAACTAAATATTTTGTACTTTTCAGCAAAATAATAATAATAATAACAATAATAATAATAATAATAATAATAATAATAATAATAATAATAATAATAATAATAATAATAATAATAATAATAATGATAATTTAGATCAGCAAATGTATCCTTACAAAAATAATAAAACAAGACAACCTAAAATAAACTCAAAAGTAAAACAAAGTCAAAAAAAGTAGTTTGATCATTTTGGCTTAATTTATGCAATGGATGTGTTATTAAGGGGCGATGGAGGCACAGGAGTTAAGTGCTCGCCCCGTAATTGGAAGGTTGCAGGTTCGAGCCCCGCTCAGTCTGTCGTCATGTCCTTGGGCAAGACACTTAACCCACCTTGCCTGCTGGTGGTGGTCGGAGGAACCGAAGGTGTCTGTGAATGGCAGACTCACCTCTGCCAGTGTGCCCCAGGTCATCACCACCAGGGTGTGTGAATGTGTGTGTGTGAATGTGTGAATGACTGATTGTGTTGTAAAGTACCTTGGGGGGTTCCAGGACTCTAGAAGGTGCTGTATCAAATGCAGGCCATTTACCATTAACAGCTAAACAAAAGTGTAACCAGCACGTTACTGTTCTTAATACAGAAAGTAAATTATAGCCTAGAAATCTAGACAAACCGTAACCAAATCAAAATGATTTTGCTCTGCAGGTTGGTCTAACCACACTCCATTAGAGCCTCAGCACATCACCCTATTGACTGATGTCTGTAGCAGTGAGTACGTCACGTTGTCCAATAGCATGCAGAGACAGTTCGAAAGAAAGCATCAGATTCTGCCCAACGACTCAGCTCTGTTTATGGGTCGTGGCCAGAATATATAGTCACATTGACGAGGATGGCTTGCCACGGTAGTAAATTAGACTTTTGTTGAGATGTTGGAAATGTTTTAGAAATAGAAGTTATTTTATTTATTCTGAATAATTGGATATTTTAAGACTTCTTGACTATATGATGGTTCTTTTAACAACCCTTTTCTCCATTAAATAATCCATAGGACTGTAATCAAATGGTTGATATTTGGTTCACCATAGGCTTGTTTTTTCTGTGAAATATTAAAGTCATCTTAAATTGCAAATGGATGCAATGTAAAATAATGTCTAATAGATACATTATTCTCTCTATGGTAAAGATGTTTCCATTTATTTTGATGCAGATTTTAATAAAAACAAAAACACCTCAGAAACCTCTTATGAAAGGCCATAACAGAAAACTTCTCTTATTTTACTTTAAGTGTTAACTGAATGTTTTTTCACTGTGCTTGTTTATAGTTTTGACATTTTAATGATTTGAAAAACCTGTTAAAAAGCACCTGAAACATAACATTTGGGTTGCCCATTTTCATGGATGGACAAAAAAAAAAAAGGTTTTGGGCAGAACATCTAGTAGGGCAGCAGAAGCTCAGGAGGTAGAGCAAGTTGTCCAGTTATTGGAAGGTTGCAGGTTCGATCCCAGCTCAGAATAGAGAATGCCCATTGTATGATTTATTATCATATGATTGTTCAATAAAACAATGTTGATTTTACAGTTCTTCATCAAGCTGACGCAGTGATAGCTTGCTCCTGTTGTACTGTTGTGTGTCCCTTTTCTGAAGGTCTAGAAGCAGACTTGTTCATCATTGATTGGTTATTTTTGTGGATTTTTGTGAATTCTAAGTGACAGTGTCAGGATTTCTAAATGATTTCTCAGTAAAGGATCTCTTTAAAGCTGTGGTCCATTGCATCAAGTTTTTAAGAAAAGGAGGAGATTTTGAAACAGCTATAGCCCCCCGGAAGGAGTTAAAAGCCAAGCTTCATACCACACACCCTCATAGTCTTATAGCACTAACAAACAAGTAATGTTTTCAATATGTTCCTGCACAGACATACCTCATTCTAACAGCTGAATTATTTCTTCAGCCTTCATTTGGTTCTGCAGGAGCTACTAGTCTCTCATTTTGTTCAAATCTTCAGTGTTCAAGAACAGAAACACCTAAATCCATCAGAAATCCGGCACTAGGGATGGTGGCACCACCCTGGTAACGCTACAACAGTCTAAATCAACAGTCTGAGGTAGCATGAAGCCTAATCTATACCAACTTTATATCACAGAACAGGCTCAGATAGTCAAATGTAAGCATTTTAAGTTATTTTAAACATTTTAAATGGTGTACCCCAGTTTTAACAATTATTTTCCTAAAACATTTGTTTACATTTATTTCTCACTTTGATGGTAGGAGGGGTGCGTGGATCCTTGCGTTGTAGTTGTCTGGGTTTTCCGTGGCTGAAAAGCATCAGTCCGTTGGGTTCTGTGGTCCTGAAGTCAAATGAGATGGATCCCGCCTTCTTTGCCGTCCACTTGCTTAGCGCTACAAATGACTCTGGGGTGTCGAAGGTCACTGGGTCTAGCGTTGCTACACTCTCGCACTTAAAGGACACCACACCACTAACCTGGAGCAGATACGGCAAAGCCAAGCATTTAGCAGTTCTAGAGTTTTAATGTATGAGTTACTAAATCACTGCAGTAAAAATCAAGGCCAAAATGACTCCTTTGTAGTTTGAAACTGAAATAAAGCCAGCTCCCAGCTGTGAATTAAGCAAAAAGATAAAAGTGTGTGACTTCTCACAAGCATAATCCTATTTCTTAAAATCCTTACAGTGTAAGGTTCATGCATGCAGCAGGAGGTACTGGTACAAAAAGTGTCTATGTTCTGTAAGAGGATAATGTAATAATGCACAATCTAATCAAATTGTACAAGTTGTTCAAAGCTGAATACCTTCATCTTTGGGCTTCCCTGTTTAGCCAGTCTAGACAGCTCCAACCGCACATCGTTGTTCTTGTACACCACCTTCAGACAGGAAAGGAAAAAAAAAAACACTCAAACTCATTTATTTTTAACAAAAGAGAGCTTTTAAATGAGCTTGTTATTGTTGGGAACAAGAAGCAGTGAAAAAGTGTTTTCACATTGAAAATAATAAAGATGCATAGACCAAACATTTTATTTACCAAAGATCTTTTTTTTTTTTATTTTTTATTGTTTTATCTTCGTTTATTTCATTCAAATTAAAAACAAATAAAACATATAAACAATAAGAAATACATAACAAAAAATCAAATTTGAACGAAAAGGAGCAGAATGAAGAAAAACATCTTGTAATTTCTGCCTCCTTTTCCAGTAGAAATAATCAATTTATATATAATTACCATTGGTCGACACGCATACAGATTCATTTTAAAAATTTTCCTGTTCTATATTCCAGTGTGATCATGATCATTGATTTAATTTACATTTTCATAATTATTTAGTACACTCAATTTGGTACATTATTTGAATATATCAAATGACAGAGTTTTTTAAATTTCCCTTTTAAGGTTATTCCATAATTTAACACCATTTACAGATATATTCCACTCCTTAATTTTAGTTCTAAATCTGGGTTTTATAAACACATCAGTTTCTTTCAGCATGTAATACTAGTTCTCTTTTCAAATATCCCCTGAATGTTTGTTGGCAGAGTACCTAGCTTTATACATGGTTTGTATGATTTTCCAGTCTTTTATATCATGAAATTTCAGTAATTTATATTTAATAAACAATGGGTTCGATGGATCTCTACAGCCACTATAATTGATGATTCTCAGAGCTCTTTTCTGTCAAATAAATAAGGGTTGTGTATAGAGGTGGGAAAAATGATCGATTCTAAGATGCATCGCGATTCAGCCGTGCATGATTCTGCATCGACGCAGCAATGTGACATAATGAGATTTTCTCCCTGTGTCTATGTTCTGGACGCGTGAGGACAATAAAGTTTTGAGGTTTTACAACTACTTCCGGGGGCAGAGTTGCAATGACATGCGCACTGCATTGCCCTAGCGCCAGTTTCAAACAGAAATGGCGGACAGGGATACAGGGTGAACATTACCCAGATGTACCCGTTACATTTAAATCAGATGTCTGGGCTCATTTCGGTTTTGGGATCCTGGATGTGAAAGAATCACTTAACACAGTATTTGTTTACTACTTTTAAGTTCAGTAGTATTCTATCTTAAAGCTGCTCTACCAAAAACATTATTTCTTATATTATTTAAGTAATTATAGACAGCACACTTTAAAAATTGTTGCTCACTATAGGGAATAGATGTATGTTCTGTTTTTCAGGGATATCGAAATAAAAAATAAATTGAAAACTATTCTACTGCTTTTATGTTAGTAATGAAACATTCTGTGAAGAATCGCGATGCATTTCAGACTCAAATCGAATCTTCAGGCAGATAATCGGAATCGGATCGAATCGTGAGGCAGGTAGAGATGCACACCACTAGTTGTGTATAGTTTTTGTATGTTGCTCCCCAGATTTCTACCCAATAAGTCAAGTATGGAACAATCTGTGAATTGTACAATGCCAACAAACCAGAATTAGTCAGTAAAAACTTGACTCTATGTAATACTCCTAAGGATTTGGCAATTTTACCTTTTATGTAACTAATATGGGATTTCCATGACAAATCTTCATCAATAAGAACTCCAAGAAATTTAGTTTCTTTTGCTCTTTGAATTGCAATCCCATCTATTTCCAAAGACACATCACTGTTCTTTTTTATCATTAAACAGTATAAAATTTGTTTTATTAAGATTCAGTGTCAATCTAGTTATATCAAACCAGTTTTTAATTTTAATCAGTTCATCATTTATCACTTCAGCCACCTCCTCAATATTTGATCCTGAGTAAAACAGTGTTGTATCATCTGCAAATAGAATGGTTCGAGTGTCTTAGATACATTTACCAAGTCGTTAATAAACAAAATGAACAGTTTTAGTCTGAGGACCAACCCTTGTGGCACTCCACAATTAATTTAACATAGTTTTGATTTATGGTCCTTTATCTGAACAAACTGTTTCCTTTTTTCTAAATAAGTTTTAACTCATTGATGAGCCACACTTTTTTTTTCATTTTTCAAATTTTTTTTCGATGAATTTATCCATACAAATACTTTTTCCAATATTTTAGAAAACGGTGGAAGCAGTGACACCGGCCTGTAATTATTGAAACTATGTTTATCACCACTCTTGTACAAAGGAATGACTTTTGGTGCTTTCATTGTGTCAGGAAAATTTCCAGTAAAAAGTGATAGATTACAAATGTAAGTGAATGGTTCAATGAAAGATTCTATGATGGTTTTAACAGTTATCATGTCCAGGTCCTGAAAATCGGTTGTTCGTTTGTTTCCACAGTTTTTTACAATGTTTTGCATTTCTTCTTTGTCTACTTTGTCAAGGACAATAGTGTTGGCAGTACTAATCATTGTGGTCAATTTATCTTCTATTATTGGTTTGTTCTCCAGCAAACTCCTACCTACATTTACAAAAAAAAAAATCATTAAACTCATCAGTGATTTCTTTATCATCATATCATTTTTTTCCTTGACAAAGTGATTTGGAATACTGGATTTTGTTTTCTCTCTATTAGTCACACTGTTTATTATTCCCCAAGTAGCTTTTGTGTTATTTTTATTCTGATTCAATAGATGACCAAAATAATCTTTTTTTTGCTTCCTAATTATTGTTACCAATTTATTTTTATATTTTAATATCTATCTTCTGCTTCCCTTGTTTGCAATTTAAAAAAACTCCTATGTAAATTATTCTTTTTTGCACACGCATTCCTTAATCCCTTAGTCATCCAAGGTCAATTTCCCCTTTTACCTGTAGATTTGATTAATTTGCAGTTATCATTATATGACTTCAACAGTATTTTTATGAAGGATGTGTATGTATCTTTCAAAGAATGAAAGTTTTATTTATTTTATTTTCTATTCAAAAGTTTAATCCAAAAGCAGAAACCTTAAAAGCCACGAGACACTTGATGCTCATCTTTTGAGTCATCCTTACTGAGCAAGCCACATCTTTCAGCACCTTTTCAATTGTTTTAATCTTATTTGCTCTTCTCTCTGACACAGCCTGCCTTATAACTGTGCAGCATTAGTGCAAAGGGTCTGTGCTGAGCATCTTGATGCCGAGAGACACACAGGCTCTTCTTTAATAAACTAGACCTGCTTGTGTAACTTTTGAGCAACACCAGACCTCTGCAATGGCATTTCACTTCTATTTTCTCATTTCTAGCTTGGTATTTTAGTTTGTGAGTGAAATAAGGTAAACTGGAGATATTAACTCCTCCAAATCTGTGTTGGCATATAGCAAAGATGATCGGGCCTACAATATATCTAATGCACACAATTGCTACAGCCGTGACTGTTCATGCATGTGTTTCACAGCATACGTCTTAATTTGCTCACACAGATTATCATATCTTTGTATTAAATATGTAAATGTGCCAGTGAAGGGTTCACTTTGACTGTGGCAGCCTTGTTTAAACACCATCAGTCTTAATGAAGCAACACAGAGTGCATTCACCACTGATACAGATAGCTCTCTGTTTGGCACATCATCTGTCGGCTTGTTAGCTTGTTTGTTTATGACTCTGTGTGAATCCGTGTGAGTGAAAGGGGGATCTCAGTCAGGATGTGTGTGTTCAGCGAGTGCAAGGATGCATACATTGAAAGTGCTTTGTCTTCAAAGGTGTTTTATTTGATCAATTTCAGGACCAGTGTTTTATTGGGAATATTGGTGCAAATTTCCTCACACATGAGCATCAGGATCACGTTAAGTGTGTGTATGTTTTATGTGTGTCATGTGAGTTCCTGCTGCTGCAGTGCTGTGGCCCATTTCAAGCAGAGCGGATGGATGGAGCGTCTCTGTGGCGTAGCTAATTAGCATGTTAGTGCTCAGCGCTGTATCTTCTCCCTCAACGACACTCATCACTGATTCCGTCTGATGCTGGATGGGTTGTGTGTGTCTGGGACTTTGTGTGAGTCTGCAAAATGGCAGAATTTATGTGTGTGTGTGTAATATAAAATACTGTGTGTAAGTTTCAATGCGAAATAAAAAAAAATACATTAGGGGAAAAACGAGGCGGATTGGTGTTGAAGACAATAAAAATCAATGTTCATCAATTTTAAGCTATACTGTGCACTTTTAAATGTGCAGGTGCCTTTGTGTTATTTAGTGTGCATCACACCTCTTTCAGACAGCCCATGAAGTTGTTGCTGACAGGAGAACCAGGCAGGTCAGCAGTGCTGGGACTCCCTCCCACGTAGAAGAAGTCATCAGAGCCCAGCATGGTGTAGTCTTCTTGCGTGTAGCCCGTTGTGGTCAGGATTCCGTCCACGGAGATCGTCACCTACACAACAAAGCACAGGGAAAGGACACGCTATACACTCACACCAAAGGCAGCGCTAAGCGGTAGCTATGCGCTGACCAGCCAAATTAGCCCCCGTTACTCTAGTAACCAATGTATATGCAATCTGTTGAGAGAGGACCAGATTGGTTTGGGGAAATGAGATGTGGTGCTGTTTGTGGAAACTTGATTTTGTGTCATTGGATCAGTGCTGACTGTGAAATGTAACTGAATAGTGCTGATTGTTGCTGTTAGTGCTGGGACCAGATATACGCTTCTAGACAATGCCAGTCCATTTCACTCATTCTCCCTGCAACTTGTAACACTCTCAGCGTTCCCATCTACCCCCTGTGCACTCTGGGGGTCAAACTGTGTGGTTTGGCGTCTTTAGCAGTAAATGGCAGTCAGTTTATTACACAGAATGGTGACTAGATCCAGTGCATGATTAATTTGGATTTGCTGAAACTCAAAGCTTCAGAGCATCCAATGCTGGCTCGTGACTCCAACATGCAGTTCAGAAAATTGGAATTGCATACTCCTCACATTGCGTAAAACTGATTAAAGCATCCTGGGTTTTGCAACTTCAACTAAAAATAGCCTTGATTAAAACTAGAACTGAATCGCAGCCTTCTAGATGCTTTTCAGATAAGGTTAACAAACAAGCAATTTGATTTACTTCCTGGTATATAAACATCCCTTCCTTAAAGACCAAGTTCACTTATTTTTTAATTAGTTTTTTTTCTCTAGTATAAATAAATGCCTTGTGATTTCATCTCTGAGGGAAAAAAACTCTGGTTCTCCTGTTTCAGGAAGTAGAAGTAGAAGTGAAGCAGAGGTGAGCAGAACAAGTTCAGGATTTGGAGTCTTATTTCCTGATATTTGGACATCTCGTCTCCAGTTGGCTAACAGCAATACGACTCTACCACTGACTCTGTTTGCTCTGCAATGTTGATGTTTTATCTCCAGAAATAACACACACCTGGAGGAGTTCTGCTGTGTGGAGGAGTTGCTAATGCTAACAGCTAGCTTCTACTAGAAGAGATGCCCTCTGCTGTTTCCTGGACGTTAAACCAACGACAACCTTCCCCGTCGCAAGTCAAAATGGGTGAGTCCATGGGTGTTAATTTTACGGTGTGGCTTTTCTAATCCAAGCATTTCCTCATTTATTTTCTATCAGTGGCTAATGTGGTGACAGATCATATTTCAAAGATAGCAACTTTCTCAGTGAACTTGGTCTTTAAACTTTACCTATAGTGGTATGTTTCATTGGATGATCTCATTTTGCTGCCAGCTATCCTCCATAGGGGCTTTCAGCTGTCACACGGAAGTTACAACTCAGATCTTTTACTGACCAGGTTGGACTGCTCATAAACACAATTCTCCCGCTACGATACCGTTCCCTCTCACTGACAGAACTTAGCATTGCCAGGCCAACATGCCCAGCCAGGCAAGTGTTAGTTAGGTCTTCACAGGCATCTTCGTGCAATACAGTTAGTGTTAGTACTGTTTATCTGTTAGTAGTGGTTAGTTGTTGCACTGTTGGCAGCCAGAGTGGTGTTGCTTGTGTCAGGCCAAGCTGTGCTGGGTCACTCAGAAAAGGGTCAATGATGTTAATGCTGTTAGTAGTTATGGTATGCTATTGTGTTGTTAGGGTGATGATGGTGTTAGTAAGTTTGTGGTCTGAGGGGGGGGGGTTTGTTGGATCAGCGAGTCTAAATGAGATGACACACAGATATCGATGTGCACTCACGCACAGGTATTAGATAGACTCGATCCACGCACACACACACGCACACACACACATAAATAGATAAACATGCAGCATGTGCCGCCCTCTGCATGCAAGCACTGGCAAAGAGGACACAGTGGATAACAAAAACAAAAGAGACAGGATGAGTCAGAGGCACCATGAGGAACATGCATGACAAGAGTGTAGGACGAAGAATCGAAAAGAAGAATAAAAAAGGAAGAGGAAGAACCTCCCGGTCCACTTCATGGACCAATAAGAGAAGGGAGAGTGGTTTCTGAGTCAGGCCATGCAGGGAGGGTGGGGCTCGACATTTGCATGCATGGGAGAGATGAGCCAATCTGTGCACGCCTACATAAGTGATGGGGTGAAAAAAGGCTGTAGAAATAGTGAAGGGAAGGTTTTTTTGTTTAAAAAGGAAAGTGGTTGGCAAGGATGGGGGAGGGGGACAGGGGCTTGTTTAAGCATAAGAGATTACCAACCGCATTTTTCCCTTTATTGGTTTAGTTTTGATGTCTATGGCTCAAAAGGAAATAGACACGGGGAAAACCCAAACTAAGAAACAATTAGAATGATATCTACCGAACAATGGAGTTTGTTTACCATAGCGTGTCCAATGCCTGAGTGCTTTGTAGGAAAAGGGGGAGAAAGGAAAGCAAAAAACTGTGAACAGAACAACTTCGGGAACAAAAAAAGGAAAGCTAGAAGGCCTCTGGTGAGATTAGTAGGTTGGTTGAGTGGTTTTGCTAGGAGAAGGGCACAGGTTAGGTTAGTAGAATGAATCATTCCATGGATGGTGGTTAGTTTCACTAGCAGGTTAGTTCAGTTAGTAGTTAGGTTAGTAGTATAGACAGGCAAACGGTTGAGAAGGAGAAAAGACAGCACCTGAGTGCTAGTGATCCTCGACGCTCTTTAGTCCAGGCTCCCTTCATTCACACTCACTCTTAGTCACACACTCGACTGGAAAAGCACTCACCAAGAGCTGAAAGCAGAGCTGGTCTGGTGGTTAACCCACTGTAAACTAAGACCAAAACCTCAGGTACTACCACAGCATCCCTGCAGCTGAACAACCGTCCACTGATAGCAGCTTCTGAATTGATTATTTTCTTCCTGCGGACTTTAGTCTGCCCTTCATCATCCGCAGCAGTCTACATATTTCACCAAAGTCAGATAAAAACACTGGATCTGCCTCACATAACCAACATTCATCAGACGATTCCGTCAAATTATTCTTTCACAGCCGAATATTACTTATGATTTAACTGGAATATTTGGACTACACTGCTATTCCTTATTGCTGCTTTCTTCTGTCTTGTTTTTTTCTTTTCTTTTTAAAGAAAATAGTCTAAATATCAGAATTTCTCATATTCAAAATCAGCAACACCTTAAACTCTAGTCTCCTCATATACTTTACTGAGAAATTACACTACAAAGGATAAGGTGATGGCTGTAAAAGGAATGTTAGATCCAAGAACAGTGTAAGCAACAGTAGAATTAGTCATAACGTTAACAGGGAAACTAGTAAAGAAGTGTTAAAGAGAGCTGTGCAGTGGAGAGTGTTATAATGCAGCACAAACAGTAGGGACAGTTGTGTTTGGTTGAGCATTTCTATGCAGCTTGGAAAGTCACCTTTACAGGGAGGTAAAGCTTGATCAATATCATTGCATTTGTGCAAGGAGTACACAGCTTAATGCGTGTGATGCCCTAAATGTGCCAGGCAACCAGAATGAGTGAAATACATCAAGTACTTGATAATACAGCAGGGTCTTTTAAACACATTTCTGGGGTACTGCCCACAGATTGAGCTGTGTTTCTCACATACACAACCCTTAAAGGTTATACCTCAAAGTAAACGTGAGTAATCAGGGTTTCCAACAATATGAGAAGCATTAAGAAATAATCAACCAAACACACCTTTCCGTATTGTGCTGAGTTTCGAGAAGTCGCTGTTAAATGTTTGATAAATGCTTTTTAATAGTTGTTAAGAACAGATGTGCAGGAAGTAGAACACTCACCTTCTACAAAAAATACTCAATTTTAGAGGCTAAAACTATCACATTTCCTGTCATTTTATCAGTTTACATCCTTCCTTTTACAATATCTCCTCCTCTCTACTCGGCCAATCACTCCTCTACCTCCTGTAGTCTGGTTACCTGTCTCAGGTTGCGGGTGACTTTGACGTCGTGCCAGGCGTTGTCGTTGAACTTGCCGTTGACGGGCTCCACCAAGGCCTCGAAGGCCCCGGAGCCGAGGTTAATGACTAGGGATACAGCACCGTTCTTTAGTGCCAGGTTGACGTAGTCTGCGGACTTGCCCGTGTGCAGCATCAGGCCGTTGCGCTGCAGCGTCTTGAAGGACAGCGTGATCTCATCACTGCTAGACTGGATGGGGTCGGGCGACAAGTCGTAGCAGAAGAACTCGGAGCCTTTGAAGGTGGCAACGTATTCCTCGCGCGCTGGAGAAAAAAGGAAGAACAAATAAGTTTCAAACTGCTACACCGTCAGTGAACATTATTCTAATGATCAGTTCATTATCTAGGCTATAATGCCTCTTCCCACACTGCTCCTCACAAACAGCTCAGAGATGAAAATGGTGGGTGTTCATCAGAGCCAGTCGAGTAAAACAAATCTCAGCTGGCTGGTTAAATTTGATTCCAACATTCAGTACAAAAACATATTTTCTAGGATGCAGAAAATGCTGTTATCGTCAAGCAAAGCCCCACTGATGCCAGCACTTGGAAGACACACTTCCTTCAATACCTTTAATCGCACCGTGGAGTGGTGGGTAAACAAGCTTTGATCAGTCATGTGGGTTAGAGATTAAACAGTGAGGATATGAGAGAGACAGTCATGAGTGTGGAGCAATCCAAACTCGTTATGAAACCTGCCACCCTCTCTTTTGAGAGAACAGCTGTGCTGGCAGTCTAAAGAGATGTGGTCTTGTTTGACAACGTGGCTCATTTCACGCAAAAGAAAAAAAGCAGGCACAACGCACGTGTCTGTGGAAGGATGTGCGGTAGCGGAGAAAGTTAGATGGAGTTCAAGGAACGCAGCAAAGAATGTCAATGAGGATGGAGAACAGCAGCCTGTAAGCATCATGGCAGCCAAAGGAGGCAGAACCAGCCAATAAGAATTGAGAAGAACGGGCATTCGGCCAATAGCGACTTACCTTGCACAGTCTTTGTGACCCCCAAGGACACTAGACCAAGGTTTTGCAATTCATCATACTTAAGCTCACATTTACTTATCTGCTCTCACACCTACTCACACATCAGTGCACAACCGGCAGAGGAACAAATATGCACACCTACACACAAATCTGCGTGAAAAAAGAAGCAGCTCGTACCATTACGCTGGCATAAACAAGCAGGGACGACATTATCTGTCTCCTTCACAGCACACCCTCCACCCCCTTCCTTTGCAACCACTTCCGTGTCCTCCTCAACACGATCCCTATATCTCTCGCACCTCCATTCTGGCCTCAAGCCACCTCTCCTCCGCACATTTCCCTTTTTGTTTTTCCTCCCATATATTTTTTGCTCTGAGGAGCCTCTGGCATAACCAACATCTTATAGTTTAATAACGAGGAGAACAGATGAGCATTTAGCACACTCCAGGTGAGGCTGGAGAAAAGACAGACATTCGGTGAGGAACTGCTGGAGAGTAGAGGGGCGAAAAGATTGCCACGTAATGAATAGAGTGAAGTGTAATAGGTTATTAAGGTAGCGAGAGGCAGAAAGAGAGGAGTGTTGAAATGGAATTGGCTGCACTTGAGTGAGTATAACACAAAGGGAATAATGAGAAGGAAAAAGTGAGAATATATCACAATTCAAAGGCCAATTGTGGCAAATTGTCTTGCTTTACTTCTGCTGCATGAAAAAGACGCCAAAGTGTGAACGCCAATATACGAGTGAGAAACAACACGTTGTTTGCCAGCATGTGTGGCGAGTTCCTCCAGTGTGTGATTCCTTCCCTCCCAGCATGTTAATTAAGAGTGTGTGTGTGTGTGTGTGTGTGTGTGTGTGTGTGTGTGTGTGTGTGTGTGTGTGTGTGTGTGTCTGAGTGTGCATAGCTGCAGAAAGAAAACATTGTGTGCATGCATTCGGGCATTTGAAAGTGTGTGTGTATGTGTGTGTGTGTGTGTGTGTGTGTGTGTGTGTGTGTGTGTGTGTGTGTGTGTGTGCACGGAAGGACTATATGTTATTTTATTTGTGCAGGAAATGTGTGTGAGTGTGTGTGGGTGCTGGTCTCTGTAAATATTGGTGTATTGCTGTCAGAAAAGCTATTACCAACTCAGGGCCTTGGGCTAGTCTTTACTGAGAGAAGGAGGGAGGAGGGGGGAGACCCACACAAACACAGGCGGAAAACACAACCGCAAATGTTAACCCAATCACACATATTCACTGACACACACATGTAGATGAGGTGCTGGAGAGAAGAAAAAAAGGGGGTGGCTTGGTCACAGTGAGAATACACACGGGCGTCCAGCAGCATTCAAGCGGTAATTTACGGAGGTGCCATTAGGTTTCAGTGTGGTACTTCACCATTCTGTTGTTAATTTACAGAGACGTCATTAGACCAGACAGGAGAACATAAAGCATCGCTGCATCGATCTGGAAGCTCTGGCCCGCAAACACTCACTCCATGTTCTATTGCATCACACACACAAATTGGACAGAAAATACATATGTGGGAGACACAAAAGAAGGCCACGCACTGTTATGCTCCTTAAGCACAATGAGGCACGCTGGCTGTGAACGGGGCAGGTTGGAGTGGATCTGTTGTGGCTCAGATTAATGGAGTGAGTCAGTATTAGCTCAGAGTAAACACTGAGGCAGACGCTGACATACACACCACATGTCACACTTCATCCTGTGGAAAGTGCTGTCCATCAAAGACCAGGGAGTCGGAGAAGGCAGGAGGACAGTAGACCAAACAGAGATGCTTCAATAAATGGAAGGTTTTTTTTTTAATAACATTTGCTCATTTGAATTAGATTTTTACTCTGCTGTTGGTTTCCAGTGGTGTGTGGTGGGACCTATGGTCTGTCTGGGTTTTTTTTATTTTATTTTCTTTGTCTCTTGCAAGTCAGATCGTCATCTGATTAAATTTAGTTAACCAAATAAAGGAGCATAAATAAATCAGACTCTAACAAGGTTACTGTCTGCCAATAAGATTTTACTCTAAAGCAGTGGTTCCCAAACTTATTTAGCCACGCACCCCCTTCTATGTCCCGACCATGTCGACGCACCCCCCCCCCCCCCCCCCCCCCAGCGCCCACATCGGGGCATGGCTCTATATATATATATATATATATATATATATATATAATCAGATGTCAAGCTAAACAGAGAGGGTTAAAAAATTCCCCATCACTTTCATTTTTTAAATAGTAATTAATAAACATTCGATACCATTACAATTTCCTTTGATTTCATTTTAAATAAATATTTAGAGTGCCCAGGTAGCACATAAACAATGCAATTTAACGGTTTTCTTAAAGTAGGAACGTTTAACCTGTGCGGCCAGAGCGCTCTCCTTCCTTCTGCTCTGCGTAAACCTGAGCTGATCACCTACTTGTGCGTAATCAAATGTCAATAGGGGACAAGATATAGCCATGATGTTCACTTTTACCTCAGACCGACTTATTGCTGTTTTATGGTGTGGCTGAATCTGCGATCCGCTGTCATGCGGACTGGAATAACAAATGCTGCACAGGACTTGTGGTCAGGTTCATGAGGAGTCACTGGCTGGACCCGACTCATCCCAGAAGCTAATGTCTTAATTTGACCTTGAATGAAAAATAACCTCTTAAAAGTTTTTATCACGGTGGAGGCAGCGTTCATTTCTGCCTTCAGTCTGACGGCGCGCTGGAGTTAAAGCAGCGTGTGCGCTTATTGAAGCTGTGTGAGTGTGTGCGCGCGCACGCGCGCGCGGTACAGCCGCTTAAGTCACCGCGTCTCGCGCTATTTAAACCAGTGTTGTAAAATGACTTCTGCCCAGCCCAGATGTGCTCACTTGTGCACCCGTGAGCCGTGGTTCAGCCAGAACGCGTCTGACCTCTGACAGACGCACTCTGAACTTCAGATCTTCAGCGCGCTGTTAATAGCCTGAATGGGAATCATTTCTTGTTATTTTGTTACATCCACAATTTTCTGTGTGTGAGGTTTACAACGTCAGAACACCTGCATGAGACAGGTGTTAATTACAATCTGCCAGAATGACTCGCCACCTTCAGATTTCTCCAACACCGTTAAAAATGATCAAATACGGAACATATCGGCGTGCGCAGGCCAGAGCGCTGAAGCTCGGCGCATTATTATTATTATGAAGTTAGGGCACATGTGGAGGACACGCACGCGCGCGACGGAACATATCGGCGTGCGCAGGCCATGTGCTGAAGCTCAGCGCATTGTTATTATGAAGCTAGGGCACATGAGGAGGACGCCCACGCGTGCAAAAATATACTTATTTTCAATTACATTTATTGTGCCCACTTACTTTTTCTTAGGCCCACCCACAAATGAGTTTCTACAATAACGGTGACATATGACAGACTTCTCTGAGCTCCGCAGCCATTACACTTTTCACCTCGCGCACCCCCTAGCGGCAGCTCGCGCACCCCCAGGGGTGCGCGCACCACACTTTGGGAATCCCTGCTCTAAAGCATTTAACTGCTGCTTTTTGGTTGTTTGACCATATTAGTTTATGTTTATTACTGAGTCGAGTTAAAAATGAAAAGACGCAAAGAGAAAATTAGAGTGGTAATGAATCTATATGTTGTCTGATTGGTGCCATCTTACACTTTTTCTTATTTCAAGCTTGTTATTTCTAAAAAAAAAGTCCATCCTCTGTTTCACTATGTGCTTTGTAGAGTTATGAATATGCCATTTCTGCCCTTAACAGCTGCCCTTTGACACAGTGACAGTGTGCATAAATTGCCAAGGTCGTGCGCTTGCTTCTGATGTTTACAATCCAGCAAAGAAGACAGAAGAAGGATGAAGAACGCTTTTCATTAGTTAATCAAAGAACTTTATTTCTAATAAAGCTAATCAAAACAACTGTTGGTCAATAATAATCAGGTGACTGATCTGTGATTTCACACAGATCAGTCCTAAGAAGTGAACACCTTTTTACAGTAATAAAGGTCAAACTTAATAATTGATTAGTAATAGTTGGCTGATTAAGTTAAACTGTGTTGGGAGAAAAAAATAAGTTGTAACTTTTCTCTCAGAGCTGCATTTATCAGGTTGCCTGAGTAACGAGTCTGGCTGTGAGTCTCCGAGTACTTCACACAACCTTGAGATAAATTATCTTTAATACACACCGCTCTGTGCAGAAGTAATGACCCATCACATATTTCTTTATGTGATGCCTCCATGGCCTATATTTTTGTAATTTTTTGGTCCTGGCCAAGGTTTCTCAGTGTTTTTCTCTGGACTCTGGCTGATTTTTC